TTTCTCCGAACATGAGCTGTGTACGCTTGTATGGCACATACGTCCCGAGCAGCATACACAGAGAAAACCAGTAGGACAAAGTCCCCAGACACTGATTCCCTGGGGTTACTAGCCCCAAATGTTCATTAACCAAAAACGAAACACAACCGCTCAGTTTAAATTAACCTCTTAAGCACGGCGGTCCCCCCATTGGACCCCTCCCACCGTTTTTTTTTCGAGATAATGTCTCAGGGCTTCTTAACATTTATGAAACTATCAATGTGTAGCACCAGATTAACGGGAAGAATCTCAGCTAACTGAAGATATGAACCATTTTTACCAAAACAAAACACAAGTCTAATGTCTAAATTCTAACGCACTGCGGCACACAATTCAAGATAAAGATACCCTTATTACTTATCGTAGCTGCACATACAATATAGCCGATTAAAGCTGAGACTCCACTGATTATTTAGGTATAGTATCATCACTGAGCGATCCGAACTTGCGACAGGGGAAGCAAACACAGACATCACAACACGTACCTTTACGGAGCTTTTACGGCAGATCGTCTCACCGTAGCTGTCAATTAGGTCAAAAGACGAGTTCAATGGCATTAAAACGAAAAAAAAAAATGCTACAACTGTTGATCCATAGGTTGATAATGTACCTGTGCCTTTGAAGAAATTACTTATAATCCATAATTCCATTTTTTATGTAAAAATCGGAGCGGAAAAGTTAGCTGCTAATGGTAGCCACCAGAGTGTATGCAGCTTCCGGTTTTGGTAACGCGTCACTCTCACTCCTTATTTGTTAACGTTTTGGTGTGTATATAACTTTCCCTCGATTCCATTGGCTCTAGCGGTTATAAAGAGATTTCATTAATCAAAATCGAGCAAGGGGGGCCAGAGATAGGTCAAATCCACCCAAATGAGGGGTTTTTGGCTAAATCTCTCTAAAAAGGTCAAATTTCACTTGTTTTGCATCAATCTTGATACAGTGTACTTATTATATGTTGTACTTTGGATTCCTAAAGCTTTTAGTCTACTAACCCATCATCCAAGGGTAGTTTTCACTATAAGTAAAAAAGAATTTTTGGACGGACACTATAATTTACAGTTTTTTACTATGTAAAATCTGAATTTTCTTTAAAATAAAAAACATCTATATTGATTCTGACTTTTCTACATCCAACTCACAGGTTTATCATTACTTTGAGAAAAAAGATTATTAATTTAACCCTTTTAGAAGGGAAGATATGGTCATTTGTTCTGGGAATGTCATTCTCGAGCCTGAGACCTGAAAAACAGGCTTTGGGCTTAAGAGGTTAAAAGCAGCGGCAAAAATATAAGTCTTCAGCCTGGATTTAAAAGTAGTAAGAGTTGCAGCGGACCTGCAGGTTTCTGGGAGTTTGTTCCAGATATTTGGAGCATAATAACTGAATGCTGCTTTTAATGTGACTGTTGAAACTCAGGTCAGAGTCCATAACTACACCTAGATTTCTGGCTTTATCTGTTGTTTTGAACATTGCAGACTGAAGCTCAGCGCTAACTTTTATACGTTCTGCCTTGGCTCCAAAAACCATTACCTCAGTTTTATCTTTGTTTAATTGGAGAAAGTTCTGACACATCCAGTCATTGATTTGTTCAATGCACTTACTCAGTGTTTGAATTGGAGCATAGTCTCCTGGTGAAATGGTTATGTAAATGTGTGTGTCATCCGCATAGCTATGGTAACTTATTTGGTTGTTTTTCATTATCTGAGCCAGTGGTAGCATGTAGATGTTAAAGAGGCCCCAAGATGGAGCCTTGAGGAACCCCACATGTCATATTTGTCAACTCAGATGTGTATTTACCTATAGAAACAACGTTTTTTCTGTCCTTTAAGTAGGATTCAAACCAATTTAGAACTGTTTCCGAAGGTCCCACCCAGTTTTCTAATCGGTCTAGTAATATGTTGTGGTCAACAGTGTCAAACGCAGCGCTGAGATCTAATAATACTAACACTGAAGTTCTACCACTGTCTGTGTTTAAGTGGATGTCATTGAAGACCTTTACAAGAGCAGTCTCAGTGCTGTGGTTTGGACGAAATCCTGACTAGAACACATCGAAACAGTTATTTAAATGCAAGAAATTACTCAACTGTTGAAAAACAACTTTTTCAATGATTTTACCTAAAAATGGGAGGTTTGATATGGGCCTGTAAATGTTCATTACTGAAGCATCTAGATTATTCTTTGTTAAGAGCGGTTTAATGACTGCAGTTTTCAGGGCCTGTGGAAAAACACCTGAGTGAAGAGACTTGTTTACTATATGAAGTAGATCTGAGGCCATGCAATGAAAAACATCTTTGAAAAATCCTGTTGGAATAATATCAAGGCAGCAGGAGGAGGATTTCAGAAGTTGTATAATGTCCTGGTTTTTATCATTAATCTGATGGAATTGTGTCATGGTGTTTGAATTGATATTAGGTGGACACAGAGACAACACATTTGCTGTACCTGATGCAGAGGCACTGACTGCTTGTCAGATTTTCTGAATTTTGTCAGTGAAGAAGGAGGCAAATTCATTGCAGGCCCGGGTGGATAGAAATGCAGAGGCTACTGACACTGGGGGGTTAGTTAGTCTGTCGACGGTAGCAAACAAGGCACGTGCGTTGTTTTTGTTTTTGGCAATGATATCAGAGAAGAAAGACTGTCAGGCAATTTTCATTTCCAAATTATAAAAGCCAAGTCTCTCTCACCAGCCATGAACCTCACCGCACGTCACTGCTCTCTTTATAGATTTCAAAATGAACCTGGAGATTTGTCTTTCGCCACCTACGTTCAGCTTTTCGACACTCTCTTTTTTCTGTTCTCACGGTCATGGCCTTTCTCCATGGAGATATTTTCTTGCCAGTCACTTCCTTTACCTTAGTTGGAGCAATGGCATCTATAACATTTTTAATTTTTGAATTAAAATGATCTACTAGCTCATTTACTGAGATGTTAGCAGGGGCAAGTGTGGAAGAAAAATTCTGAGTAAACATTTCCCTAGTATTTTCAGTTAAATATCGCTTTGTGGTTACCTCTTTTTGAAAAAAATTGTGAACAGAAATAGAGCTCTCAAAGAAAACACAGGAATGATCAGAGAGTGCAACATCAGTCACCATAACCTTAGAGATATTTAGACCCTTTGAGATCATTAAGTCCAGAGTGTGCCCCTTATTGTGCGTGGGCTCCGTCACATGCTGAGTCAGTCCATAGTTATCAAGAACACAAAACAGTTCTTTAGCCCCTCTGTCCTGGGGGTTGTCAAAGAAAGATGGTTATACTCCTCAACATGTCAACATATTTCCAATCTACCATTGGGCTTATCTACCGTTGCCTCTGTTCACAAGGTAGAGCGGCTAAATGTCTTCTTGTGTACAGTAGGTGGAAGTCATGCTTCATTGTTCACACAGGAGCAGTGAGAGTCACAAGCAAAAGCTCTCTGTCCTGTGACGGCACTTTATAAACGTTACTCGAAGTTGTGCATTCATTCATACATATATCTCATAGTTTTTAAGGAGAAAGTGAGGTACGTTCTGAAGTAGTTACATTTCTTAATGCTCCTCGATTTTTTTTAGCTGTCAATCAATCGTTTTTTAAATATGAACAATGGATCACACCTCCACTTGGGTTCATTAACGGTGACCCCCCAGCTTTATGAAGATAACACCTTTCAGCTCATTTTTTGCCTTTCCAGACCCAAAATTTGCTGTTTTCCCTTTATGCTCATTGCTCTTTTTGCATCGGATTTGCTCAGCACTAAACGGCAGACGGACAGAAATAGCTGCAAGTGAAAACAATGTAACATTTAGCAGCGAATTAGCCAGATTTATTTCTCTCAGAACAGGGTACAGAATAAAAACAAAGAGCGCAAATATTTGAATTGTAGTTTTATTTTAATTAGATGGTTGGCTACAATTGCTCGCCATATCAAGTTGATAACATCAGTGTTTTGTTAACAGTTGTTTTACCCTGCCCACAGGTAGCCTAAAACTTTGATGGCAGATTTTAATCCATTTAATCAAAAGTCAATTCTGAGGGTCGTATTCTTAGAATTGTAGCCATTTTTTACTGCTATACTATGGTATATGCTACATACAGTATAACCAACTAAAATAAAGCCTCCTTAAAATTCTTGTTTGTGATCCTTACGATCCATCTGCAGTATAAAATAAAATCCAATAGCAGAGTTACTGACCAATACTCACAATGGAAAGTATGATGAGTATAAGTTGAAAAATAGCCCAATATCCCCTTGAATCTCAATTTTTCTTTAATACCTTTTTGTCTGTATTGTAACGTCCTCAGTCCAGCGGTATTCCTTTATTTGGGATTAAAACCTTAGACAAACAGGGTTAATCCGGCAGAATCAACCCAGAAAGCAAATCGTTCCATTATATACATTTTTTTCCAGTGTTTGCAGCAGCATATGACCTCTCTTTTCAGATGCACTCAAAGCTTCTCCCTGCAACAGTCCACTTGTCTGAAAAATAAATAAATAAAGATTCTTATCTTTTAAAATGTAAATGCCAAAGATGTTAGCAAGACTTCTGCAAGCTGTACCTGCAAATGTTGATAATACTAAAATGAGTCCCTGTGTCATTACCCTTTTCTTGTAGTAGAAGATACATGAGGGAAAACTGAAAGACATGCAAAGGGTTTTGATAGAGGAACAACCACTCCATTGATTTGTTCTAAGAAAAATAAATAAATAGAAAAAAAACGTCCATCTCCACATGCTCACACGCACAGACCTACTGACACACTCAAAGGCAACCCCGGAGCAGGGATTGGACCAGAGACGGAGAACACTTCTCCCCCCCCCCCCTCTCCAAAGCTGCATGCTGTACTCCCAGAAGCCCTGTCAGAGTGCGATGTGAGCGCAGGGCAGCGATGATGACCGGCTTCTCGGGCTGCTAGACCACCTCACAGAGACCCGACACCTCGCCGGTCCACCTCTTAGCCTCTTTCCATTTACCACCGTGGACCAGGAATGGATTCCAGGCTCCTGATTGGACCGGGGGTCCCCACACCGGACCCGACCGCCCGGGAGCCCTGGAACATGAGCTCCATCAGCTCCATCAGCCCGCACCGGCTCCTGGAGCTGTCTGCTGTCACCACCGCTGTGAGTACCCGGCTCCCACGCTTCTTTGATGTGATTGTTTTATTTTCGGCTGCTTGGAGGAAGGCATTCCCCTACATCTAAGCGAAGAGCTTCGGTGCGTAACCGCGGAGAGGACCGGTCCAGAACTGCTAAAAACAAACTCACTAGTTAATGTTTTTGTATGTTTAGTTCCTCCCAATATATTTGAGCATTAGTGCACAAGGGAGGTGTGATGAGATCTCTGTGATGAATAAGTCACACCTGCATCTGCGCTCCGTTCATTCACCGCCAGTCCCGTCACCTGCATTTCTCCACTCTCCATCTTGTAATTGTATACGAAATGTTTTAAAAAGCTGTTGTGAGTGAGCTGTATATATTTTATCTGTGGTAAAAGTGCGTATCGTGTTTCTGGTGCCAACATCTGTGCGCACGATATGCAATCCGTTAATACATGTTAAGTAGGCCTATTGCTCACACTTTTCTGAATTTGCGGTGTGTTTAAGGACCTTATTATCCAGTCGGGATTTCTGTAATTTGTCAGACGACATGTTTGTGCACAAACTTGACTTAAGTGTTAAAGTAAAAGGCGTTTACAGTATACCATCCCATTAAATCCCCATACTTTCATATAGACATGTACATGTACTAATCCTAAATTACCACTGTGTGCTGCAGGTTAGCCTCAGTTCAGACCTTTGGGTCTTCAAAAGAGGAAATGTAGTTTGCAGCAAAGCAGCATAAAACATCAATCTGCTGTTTTGGATGGTGATTTTAAGTTTTGGTTGTAAATTACAAAACATTTTATTTTAATTAAATGGTGTAATTATGCCATCTGTGATATGATAGGCCATGAAGATGTGTTAATAATGTTTTTCATTACCAAGTCTCATAAGTGAATGAGACTCTCTCTCTATCTCCCTCTGTGTGTGACTGTGACATTGGGACAAAAACATGCATAGCCTTCAGGGAAATCCTTTTTATCCAGATCTGTGAACCAACACAGTGGTGTGTCTACCTCTGCACTATGTGAAGCATGAAATGAAGCGCAGTGCATTCATTTTGCTACAGGGTATAGATTTGAGAGAGAAGCAGCTGTTTGAAAGACACACGAGAAGCAAGTGGGTGCGTTGTGAATGTAGTTCAACAAGAGTGAACTTTGAAGTTCAGAGCTGCAGACTTTAGTCTCAGCTGCTTTTGTAGTCTGGCCTTCATGGTGGGAGCGCTGGTAAAGCTGATACTAAAGCAGTGCCTGAGGGCAGCTTCTACAGAGAGCGATGGGTTCTTATACTCTGCTATAAGTGTGGTTTTCATTTAAAAAAAAACTCTTTCTGGGATTTCCTCTAGAGCCCTCTTTTACTTTTACCACTGTTTCATCATCTACTGAATCTACCATCTCTGCATCATTAACAAAAGATATGGGTCTAATGTATGAGTGCGTATGTGTGTAGTGTGTCTGTGTGCTGTCCTGCTATTTGTCACTTAAGAACCAAAATGACAATCCTATAGACAACGAAACTGCGCTGTTAATTACATTTACAGAAAAAGGTATTCTCTTCCAGATTACCTTTTTTTTCAATGTATCATACGATACGTTTTTAATTACAGTCAGTCTGAGGTCAGGATGGATGGATGTAGGGGTCAAACAAACAAAATGATTTCACCACGGAGGACTAAAACATTTTAACATTTAAAGTATTTTAAATCAGGATATTGACCAAACGTTAAAATAAATGTTGTTGCCCAAACATAACCATTTTGGTTTTGTTTTGATTACAGAAACTACGTTTTACTCAAATTGCAGTTTAGTTGTATATGCGAGCAAAATTTGTAGGCAACAGGGTTGGACCAAAAGATAAGCCAGTTTGTTTAAATGTATCCTCCTCATATTTAAGGACTGGCCAACATGATGGAAATCAATATCTTCCCATAATTGATTGATTTCAAGATATGACGAATGTATGCAGCATCAGGTTTTAGTTCCACAGATATACATTACATCAGACAACATTTTATGTAAAACAACTAAAAGAAGAACAACTTTATTTTAGATAGATAAATTGTTTAAAAGTACAATTATAGGCATCCACTGAGAGACAGTAAATGATGAGTGAGGAATTATCCCTGATCAAGTTAGATGATTGTTATAGAAGACACAAAGAAAAATACCCTGAAGATATTTAAAACAGAAAGCAAATACCTGTCAGGGGTGTATGGAATAAGTGTTTGGTTAAAAGTAGTTAATGCCAGCCAATCACAATTCAGATTTTCCAATGCTTATAATACAATATTGAATTATCACCTTTTAAAGTGAAGCCTTTAATCTACTGTTAAACTGAGTCACATTATCCTTTGGTGGTCATATGATGCCTGAGTGACATGTTCCTAATGAAAATGTATTTCCTCTGCTGTAAATGATCAATTACCATGATTATGAGCATGACGTCCTTTTATTCAGAGGGAAGCCGCTCATTCACGTTCATTAAAGGGGACCTATCATGCAAAATGCACTTTTGTACGTCTTTTATACATGAATATGTGTCCCCAGTGTGTCAGGGAACTCACCAAGTGTCAGAAAACACAACCCTCTCTCTTTTCCTCCATACCCAAATCTCTAAAAACGGGGCTGCAACGGATCTGATACAGACTGATACAGATTTGAAAATTCTCTGACGTCAGGAACGAGGAGCTCCGCCTATATGGCCAACTCTCCACCTATCAAGGGAATGAGAGGTTGCTGTGGCATGGTAACAGCATGGTAACATGACGCTCGTGCCTCGCCCCCCTCCTTTGCAGGGGGGCGTGGTCAGCTGCAGCGCATGCAAAGACAGGGCTGGAGGAGAGCAAAATAGAGCAAAATGAGGCATGGCTAAAATGCATGATCTGTTTGGTATTTTGAGAAAAAAAACTTCACAGACATGTTTTATATAGGTATGGCCCTACAATATATTATGCAAATATAGCATGATGGGTCCACTTTAAGTTAGTGTTGGCTGTTACAGAGTGATGTGCACATAATTGCCTAGTAGATTACAGTATGTTGTAAGCTTCAAACACGTGTGCACAGCTTCTTATGCTTGTATTTACATGCATGTGTTTTCTTCTACAGATTATTTTCTTACATTGGATATTTAATTCCCAGCCTCTCCTCTTTTCCCCTCTGTCTCTCCCTCTTTCTTCTATCCCTAATCCTTGTCTTCTTCCTCACTCAGTTATTTTTCCCTGCCGGTTTTAAATAGCTGTGCATTAGATAGCTAAGACCATTTAAATGTATTTTAATTGCTCTTGACTGATGTAGGGAAAGCCAGAAATGCTGGCTTCAGTACGCTAATGAGTGCAGAAAGATGTCACCACTAATTCCATTTTTAAGTCCCAGACAAACAAACTTTAGAGGAGAATTCCCCGCTGCTCTTTCCTCCTCACCGTGTGATCACATTTATCTGGCCCCGAGCTGCTGGAGGAAATGAGATGAAGCAAGAGGAAGTACAGGAGTGATCGAAAAAAAGATTTAGGAAACAGCGGAACTGCCGTGAATGAGGGAATGAACAAAGATCTTCCATCAGCAGCGATAGCGGAGATGAGAACGATATCCAGCAGGGAGGGTGTCAGGGGTGTGAGAAGAAGAATCTTTCTTTAACAACTTCATACCAAACATACACACACACACACAACACGACTGCGTATCACCTGAACTCACTTCCCCCTCTTTCAGTAACTCACCCCCCAGGACCTTTTCACTCACTTACATAACCTCTATTTGAATGTCCTTCCTTTTCAGATGCTTGTGACTCCGCAGAATAGTTGTAGTGCTGAAGCAGATGCTGGACCCCTTAAGGCACATGTGCAGACAAACACACACACACACACACACACACACACACACACACACACACACACACACGCTCATATGCGGCTGACAGGATTAATAAGATGAGATGTGTGTGTGTGTGTTCCAGTTGAACTAAGGAAGATTTAGTGTATAGTCCTGGCGAAATGAATTCTGGAGCTGTGTGCTCTGAGTTGCACTGAGCTTCTCAGAGGCAAAATTCTGCTTGCAAGATTGTTATTTATGTTAACAATCTATTATATAAAGTTTGTTTTTAGGGAGCTACAAGAAACATTGGAATTAATTAGTTTATTTATGCTTTCTTGGGCATTTACTAGAGTGCTTCCATTTCTGCATTTTCGTATTGCTATATTGACCTAAGTTAAATATCTATGGAGTTGTCAGACACTGTATACAGATTGGTGTTTGTATATGCTTTTCCAGCATGCCACATACAACTAAGTATTTTTTGAGTTAAAAAGCAGAAACAGACCCTCGCAAACTTCTCAAGCTTTTAAAATGTTTCCAGTTTAGAAGTAATCCTTCATTGCTGATATATTATATCCTTTCTTTCGTTTTCTTTTTTAAAATTTTAGAAATATTTAAAATTGTGCATTGTTAAAGGTCCCATGTCATGCTTTTCCGGTTATTACCCGTCCCCTTGTGTGTTATGTAGCTTTTTATGCATGTGAACGGTCTGCAAAGTCACAAACCCTCAAAGTACACCCTGTAGCGAGTAAAACTCTAACACAGAAAATACCTGTCTATGCCAATCCGTGGAGCTCCTCACACACACACTCTGTCAGCGGCGAAACTGTGACGCGCTGGCACTGTAGGTGCGCCGCGTTTGGGGGTGTGGGGGGGTGCTAGTGGAGCCTCGCAGATGGGGGTGCTGCAGCCCCCTCAGCTCTTCCCACGTCCATTCGCGATGTCTCGCTGCAACCAGGAAATGACACCAGTAACCCAGCTCACACTGTCCGCTTCTCACAGCTGCAAGCTGTCATTACTGGTGTCATTTTCTGGTTGCTAAAGCCATAGTAACACATAATCACTGATGTTCCACTGTAACGGTGGTGGACTCATCAGAACAGAGTGGGCGAGCTGACCAATCAGAGCACAGTGGGCTCATAGGGAGGGGGGGGGCAGGAGCTCCAACAAGCCGTTTAGGACAGAGTGAATACACACACTATACGATGCTGTATGAGAAACCAATGTGATTTTGGAAAATTGCACAATGTAAATCTATTCTAGTAGACCTCAACAATGGAATTATGATCAGTAGAAATGGCCATGTCATGGGACCTTTAACAATTTGGACTATTGACCTACTCATAAGCATTGTTCCAAAGCTCTTCTAGTTTTCATAAACTGCAGCGTACCTTTTGAATACAAGTTTGATATGCTGCTGCTTCCAAGTATTTTTTTTTGTAGATTTTGTGCTACTTTGTACCTCCACAATAATCTGTTTTTGCATTGTGAACAGAAAACTGTTTGGTTAGGTTAATGAAATCATTGTGGTTATGGTGAAAATAAAAACAAGTGGAAATGTGGAAGAAATAAATCATTTTTAGACCCACCCAACCACTTCCTCCCTACAGTGACTCTTTGTTACCACGTTCTGCTACACATTACTGTGCATTAGTTATTTTAGCAATAGCAGTGTATAAGAAGAGTATTTTTCCACTATGGTATTCCTTTGCTCCGCTCATGAAAAGCTATTTTTACTCATTGTTTTGTGTAAATGTGTCCTTCTCAAACCCTTTTCCAATTCAGAAAAACTGTAAGCTGAGGAAAGCCGTGCCGTGAGCTTGTAATTTCTTTGTTGCTGACAGACAATGCAAGAAGACAGTGGCGTAACAAGGTTGTGATTGGCCCTGGTGCAAATATTGTTTTGCCCCCCCCCCCCCCCCATCGCCCCAAACATAAGCGCACGCTGATGCACGGACACGCACGGACATACACAACCACTCAGAAGCGCCACATGTATAGGCTATCAACAACAGCCTGCCCTGGCCTCAGACCACCACAGCCTGACAACGGCACAGCAAAGAAGAGGATTAAACCTGTTTCCTTGATGTTTGTCTCTGGGGAATGGGCCGGTAGGCCTACATAGACCGGTTGCTATAATATAGCTTTTGATCTTGGCGTCGGGGGTCTCAATAGCGCCATAGTGTCCCCTATCGGTTGGGGCCCTTTGGGGAACTGTTGGACCACCGCCGGGCACAACCAAATCCAGCCTCTCCTCCTGGCTGGCTGGAGAAGAAGGTTGCACAGCCACGGCCACGGTCACGGTCACGGTCACTTGTGGAGCTAGATGGCAATGATGGTGGTGAGGCAGGTGAGCTATCGTTAGCCTCCGGCTGCCGCTGCACTTCAAAATTGCTAACGTTAGCGCTCGATTTCGAGGACGATGTATGACAAAGAAAACGGTCTAATTTTGTCAGTTTAGCTGTTACATCTCCATGTTCTCTCTTGTCCTTTCTCTTTTGAGCGCTGCTCTTGTGCTTTGGTTTGCTGTACATTATAAATGCAAGCTTTTTTATAATGCTACTGAACTTGCTGCTGCTAGCTACAGTACAGTACAGGTTGATTAAACGGTTCGCTCGTCACGCAAGGTATCACATGACATGAAAGGGAGCAAGGTCATTGGACAGACAAATTACAAATTAATTTAGGTTGCTTGGTTACTTTGAAGACTACGTGAACCGGTCAATGCCATTGGGGCCCCAAAAAAAAAAAATATTTAAAAAGAATATTTAAAAAATATATATAATTTCTTTTTTTTACTTTTTTTTTTTGCATGGAATGGAAAGCATGGAATGGAAAGCAGAAAAAAACATTAAATGTATCGTTAAAAATGTAATTCTCAAATACTTTTTGTTAGCACAACATTGTCATATTATCACCTGTTAAGTTGAAAAGTTGTTGAAAAACGGTTAATATTAATGGTATAACAGCTTGTTTTCATGAGCTATTTTTACGGTGGCCGACAGGGGTAAATATGGCAAAACATTTCCATTTGGAAAAACGCGCTGCAGTTTTCAAAACGATGCAAATAAATAAACACAAATGTGCGTGTTCAAATTAAGAAACTTCTTCACCAACTTTACGAAACATGCGCAGCATTTACTAAAATCTCTGCATAAATAAAACACTGCGAATACAAAACGCTGAAAATAAAAAAAAAACTGCAAGAAGCTCCAAACACAACGGAAACGGGGAAACTAAAAAGTGATGCACACAGCTGAGACCCAAGCATTGTTCAACTTCTGTGATTAGAAAGTTGTCAATGTCGACTGTCACTCAAAAGCTGTTAATAAGCTAATATTCCATTGACAGTTTGCACGGGTTAGCTACCGTAATGTTTACTTGTGAAATAATGTGAACATTAATATGAAAGATTTCCTGTAAAATTCTAGTAATAACAAGAAAATAAATCAATATGAAAATATATTGTGATTAAATAAAATAAATAACAATCTTGTATTAACAAAGAGCTTATCAAACATATATATGTATCATCATGGCTACAATATGCTTCCATACATGTACATGGTGTGGCTAATTCACAATTTCAATTTGTCATCCCAATATCTATTTTACGTTTTTATTGTCCTTATAATTTAATTATGTGCCGTCTGTCAGATTATGAGAACTGCAATAAAAGCTGAATTGTTTTTGTACTGACATTGCTCTTGATCATGACTTGATAACATTATTTAACGCCACAAATTAACCCCCGTTTTCCTGTTGCCAGGGTCCCATGGTTACAAGCCACCCATTTCCAACGGTAGACGTCCCCGCCCACGCTCACTACACCATCGGTGTGGTCATCCTGATCGTTGGCATCACGGGCATGCTGGGAAACTTCCTGGTTATATATGCTTTCTGCAGGTACAACAGCTTTCTACTGCTGTTGTAAACAATGTTATTGTATAGACTTGTTAAGCACCACTTCACAGCTGTGTGTGTGTGTCTGTGTTCAGGAGCCGAAGTTTGCGGACACCGTCCAACATTTTCATCATTAACCTGGCAATCACAGACTTGCTGATGTGTGTTACTCAGACACCCACCTTCTTCATTAACAGCATGCACAAGCGATGGATCTTTGGAAAGAAAGGTAACAAATACATTTAACATTTGACACTTATATTTTTGAAATACCGTGCAGAGTTACAAATACGACCTCAACACAGTGTTATGATTTACCATGTACATGTACACACAAATCCACACATCTTTTATATTTATGGCCACACTGGATTTCCACAAGGAATATGTATTGGTTTCGTACCCTATTGTGTGACGCGCAGTTCAATTGAGATTCTGCACTCAAACCTGCCATTCTCTTTCACCCTTTTGTGCAGCATCTCAAAATTCCATTGATCACAAAGCCAGCAAGAATGCATGTTGCTTGTATGTTTTATGTGCATTTGGAGGATGTTGTACCAGTGGTGCATTATACAGTACATCGGCATGCAACCTAGAGGGAATGGAGATGAAGAGGTGGTAACAGCAGCACAGCAATCCACTGATCAAACACTGATGGAGCGCAGCGTTTTCCTTCAGGAGTTGTCCTGTCAGATCTGCAGCTCAACTCTCAATGGTTGTTACTGCAAGACAACCCTTTCCTTTTCTTCTTCTAACCGACCTCCCTACAACCTTGAAATCCCTTTTCTTCTGCCTATTCTTTTAAAAAGACACACAGGCAGTGAGATGTAGATGTTAAAAGAGTGACAGTTATAACATTCTTAGCTTCTGAAATATGAAGTATTTTAGAGTGAAATAGAATATTTGAGCGTGGTGTAATTATGAGAGGTTCTATTTCCAATCGCTTAGAGATTTGAAATAAAGCGAGTGAGTTAACGTGCAAGAACACTTTAGCAATAAGGTGTTGAATGTATGCATATATTGTTACCTCATGCACTTTACTATTCTATGCACCTTCTGGTTGGATGCAAACTGCAATTCGTTGTACTCTGATTTTTTTTTATCTAATCTAATTTCCATGCACGAGAATATTAGAAGTAGGGTGCATGTAGATAAACATTATGGTGGCTATAATCCTCCAGTCAGCTTCCATTAAGCCATTGCAGAAAAAGAGGGAACATGAGAGGACGTCATTTAAAAAGTGACCGTCAAATCTCAACACCGGACAAAAATGCGGAAAGATTCATCAAAAATATTATTTTTTTATTTTCTTCATCTATGGATTTTATGTAGGTTTCTGTGCTGATTAAAACTGGTTAATGATTGGTTAGTTTTTCCTAAAATGAATTGCAGCTCATTGCAGGATCTTTCAATATCTGAAATGTTTTACAAACACTTATACTGTAGTTACTGGACACAAATGCAGTGAACTTTCTTTTTGACAAAATGCCGTAGGACTTTAAATTGTTGTTTCTCTCTGGAGAAAGCCTGGTGTTCCCTGGGAGCCAAACAGGACTTTATTTTCTTCAGAGACTTAACAATAGCTGTCAAACACACACAGTCAGAAAGAAGATCATTAACCCGCCTGAGCGGTATTTGTTTTAGTCTATTAACTAATGCAAAACACTTCTGATTCTGTCTTGTTCTTGCTTGTAATGACTTGATGGCGTGATTAAATGTGTCCGGTCAGAGGTAATTACACACTCAAATGACTATTGAGTGTTTTTGTTCTTGCCAAAAATGCTGATTTCTGCAACATATTTAGGTTAGGCATTGTGTGCATGTTGAAAATTATCAATAATTTATATGCAGCATCATTGTACTATGTAATAAGCAAAGAATACCAAAACATCTGTTATTGCTCTGACATGATGAAACACATATGTGTCCAAAACTCTCGCTAAAACTGAATTGTAAGTTGAGAAACACAATCACCTGCAATGCTCGGCTGTTATTAAAGAGCTACAGGATCATCTGCCAGAAAATAGATGTATCCTGATTGCTGCTGTCACGATTGTCTTTCCTCTCTACTACTTCTTGACTTTCACCTCTCCTCCTTAAGGTTGTGAAATATACGCCTTTTGCGGAGCGCTGTTTGGTATCTGCAGTATGATAACACTGATGGTGATTGCGGTGGACCGGTACGTAGTGATCACCCGGCCTCTGGCCTCCCTGGGGGGGATGTCTCGCAGGAAAGCCCTGTGCATCCTGGCTGCTGCCTGGGTCTACTCCGCAGGGTGGAGCCTGCCCCCCTTCTTTGGCTGGAGTAAGTACAACTGCAATAAGAAGCCTGGAGGGAGAGTCATTGTCGATCAGTATGAATCATCAGGGGGATTCTTTTTTTAGAACTTCTCTCTCAATGATTTATTTGTGTCAGTTTGTCAAATTCCTGCTGAAAGTTGTACTGCCATGTCAAATAGATCTCACTTTACATTTGTCAACATGCCAACTATATTTAAAAATGAATTCAGTTATAAGAAGGATGATCAAGTGGTCAGCTGATATAGAAATGATGGTCTTACAATGATTAATGATGAGGTTGTGGGGTCTTTCTGTCCTACTGGCCTTTTTTTGTTTTGATGGATGTGCTTTGTTGTTGACAGCATCCAGCAAAAATGTGTTCTACTTTTTTCACTGTTAACTAAACTCAAACAGCTGACAGTAACATTTTGTACATTTTAATTTTAATTGAGAGATGATAATAATGTTTCTTTGACCAAACAACCAGTCATTTGACCAAAAAAACCTGTGTTGTGACACTAAGTTCGACTAATACAACAAAAGATAAGGTATTGGGAACTGTAATTTATTCAAACTACAATTTTGCACTCAATGACAAAATGTAGACCCTCACAAAGGTCGTCAAGTTGTTTGTTTTTTTACAATAGAGGATACATACAACTAAAGTTAGCTGAATACAATGTATTCAATGTCTGTATTGTGTACCTGGATTGCAGCATTTAGAGTCTACTATCTAGAGAACAGTAAAGGACCGAGCATAGAGCCCTGGGTTACTCCATCAAGTTAAATCCCTTGCACTGTCGTGAGCTTTATGAACCAATTTAAACTGATAGTATATCATTTATTTTTGCTATTTTCCTCACTTTAAGACAGCCAGCTATTTACCCCTCATTCGAGTCTTCAAGCTAAGCTAAGCTAAGCTAACCGTCTCCTGGCTGTAGCTTTATACTCAACAGAGAGTTTTTGAAGTAGCATTTATATTGTAAATCTTAACAAGAAAGAATAAGGATGTTTATCACAATGCTCTACTACGTGTCACTTGGTGGAATCCCAGACAAATAGAAATGGTCCGATTCAATAAAATGTATTTTGCTCTCCCACAGGTGCTTATGTCCCAGAAGGTCTGATGACGTCTTGTTCCTGGGATTACATGACATTTACTCCTTCTGTCCGTTCCTACACCATGCTGCTCTTTATCTTCGTCTTCTTCATCCCTCTCTTCATCATCATCTTCAGCTACTTCTGCATCTTCAGAGCCATCCGACACACAACCAGGTCTGTACATGCACACATTGATTTTCCTATAATAAGGCAGACAAAGACTTCCACATGCATTGATAAAACACAAGCATTGTGTTGATATTGATGTCTTTTTGATTAACAATGTGTCAAGTTGCAATACAAATTGTATGTGCATGCAAGTACAATAACTGTCATTCAAAAAGCCTCTATGTCCAAATAAATAACCTATAAAGCTAAATCTAATACAGTTTTTCTGAAAAAATGCCACATTTAATTTAAAAATACAAATTATATTGCAACTCAAAATAAAGCTTTATTACTAATGTGTCTGTGTTTGACAGAGCGATAACACAGATGAACTGTCAGGGAACCAGAGACTCTGCAAAGAAGTTAAATAAGATGAAGACTGAATGGAAGATGGCAAAGATCGCACTCATCGTCATCCTGCTATATGTCATCTCTTGGGCCCCTTACTCGTGTGCTGCCCTCACTGCATTTGCTGGGTAGGTGGGTTTGTGTGTGTGTGACCACTGAGGAGATATTTTGTACTGTCTAGTGATGTACAAATATTACGATAACAACTAAAAACCTTCTAGCTACATCAAAATTGGAATAGGAACATTTTAAATGACAATATATAATCATGACATATGCTTTGATTTAAAGGTAGGATTGTTTAACAATGTGTGAGGACTTTATTGATTGGATGTTCCTTTTCTGCGGTGTTAAGTCAGTAACAATACAGATTTGAACATTACAGTATGTGGCTATTTGCGTGTGCCAATCCTGTTTCTCTTCACAAATCCTGTAGTAGAAAACGCACCCACTCCTGCCCTTGTCAAATAAATGTGTCTTGTCCAACATCTCTCCTGTCTCTCTCAGGCACGCTGACATGTTGACTCCGTACATGCACTCTGTTCCTGCTGTGATCGCCAAGGCATCTGCAATCCACAACCCTATCATATATGCCATAACACATCCCAAATACAGGTAGGATTCACACTCAAGTGTTCAGATTGACAACAAAAAGACATTGAAAGACATTACATTGGTCTTTCAGAAACTGGCATGGACACTTTCACTATTTCCTGACATTTTCTCATTTCTATTTTCTAATGACCTCATGATCATTTGATTAAAGGGCCCATGTCATGGCCATTTCCACTGATCATAATTACATTGTTGAGGTATACTAAAATAGATTTATACTGTGCAATTTTCCAAACTCACATTGGTTTCGCATACAGCATCTCTGTCAAGCATGTGTATTCAGCAGTATTCACTTTCTCCACTAAACGACTCGTTGGAGCTCTTGCCCCCCCCCTCCCTGTGAGCCTAGTGTGCTCCGATTGGTCAGCTCGGCCACTCGTTCTGATTAGTCAACCACCAGAGAGGCTGCGCCCATGTCAGTGCTTTTCCCGGCTGCTCTCAGCGTAACATCAGTCTTATCATGGCGTCGGTACAGCGGTATATTTTATATACATATATATTTTTAACTGTTGTTATAGAAGAGTGTGACGGCCCCAGGGCCTTTGTCTTACGATGGGGTGGAGCTGAAGAGGGTAATCAGCGCGATCACGGACACCTCCGGACACTACGGCCCCAGTCTCTCTCCAAAGCGGCTGCAGGAAGACTAACTCTGCGATCCTCTCAACCACCTATCTTTGCATTTACCACAATAAATGTGCCGTGGTTTTGTAAACTCGTGTATGTCTCCTTGTCTTTCCGTTGTGGCCTACGAGCTACTCTCATAACAAAGAGTAAGTTATTTTACCCGTTATAAACTACTACTGTTTGATGAGAAATCAAATCATGGTTTGCTATATATGAATTCAGGGAAGAAAGGATAGGCCTACTAAGTATTTCCATTAAACTTTATTTTTAGAAATGTACAAAATGAACATAAATATACATATATACACGGTATATCATCCATTCCTCCTCCTCTTGCCTGCGCACAGCCGGTGCGGTGCGGTGCCTTTTAGCACGAGCCCTCAGTAGTAGTAGAATCCCTTCCCCGTCATGGATTGTCCGCCAGGATCTGGCTGGACGAAATCAAATGCAAATCACAAAATATTAGAGAAACTTAGTTGTTTTAGATTCGTTAGTAGTAGTTGTGTAATGAACAGCTTGCCTGCTAATATGCTAACCTAGCTTTGTTTACCTTGGTAGCTAACACGATATGAACGTTAGCTTGGAGGAAAGGCAACTATAATGCAGTGTAATAAAACTACTATGAACAAAAGCTAGTGGTTCATATTAGGCTAGCAATAACGTGTTTATAATTGCAATCGTATACGGGTATTCTGCTACCATACAATGTAACTTGCATGAATACATTGTTTGTGCGCTAGCATACAGCTAGCCTCGTAGCTACATGCAGTATATGTACGGTCACAATGTACGGTAAACCGGAGTATACTGTATGAGTATTCCGTGTGTGTGACTGCAGACATTCTCCTGCCATGACAAACATGTAAGGCCATCTGCTGACATTGTAGTTGATATATTTAAACGCTAGCAACGTAGCATCACAAAAATGTTTTTCTGACCAAAACTAGCTCAAGCTCCGTGTGTTAGATCGCTACGCCAGCTATAATGTAATTACGTTTCGCGACTGACCGGCAAATCACCCGCAGTATACTGTCAATAGGTATTTTGTGTGTGAATGCAGACATTCTCCTGCTATGAGATACATGTATGCAAGGCCATCTGCTGATATTAGAGTTGATATATGGAAACTCTAGCAACTTAGTTAGCACAGTTAGCACTGTGTCAATGGCTTAGCAGTCCAACACAGTTTACACATTTAAACAGTCTTGTTTGATAAATACACAAATAACAATGCAAACTTACAGGTTGTATACCCAGATCTTCCCCTGCTCCAAACGGTCCAAACAAGCTGTGCATATCCGGCCTCAAACTGGGCAATGTTTTGGAAGCTTTCGTCTGTGAAATGCCGGTTCTTCGAACCTCTGGAGGAGGAACACGCCGCTGCTGGAGTGGCCATAGCTCTTCGGGATTGGTCCATTTCGTTCCGGGTACCGCATGACATCAGGCGGTACCCGGAACTAAATGGAAGACTCAAATGGGCAGTGACGTATCTCCAACGAGGCGTTTTGGGGAGGTATTTTCTGTGTTAGAGTTTTACTCGCTACAGGGTGTACTTTGAGGGTTTTGACTCTGCACACCGTTTACATGCATAAAAACCTTCATAACACACAAGGGGACGGGTAATAACCGGAAAAGCATGACATGGGAGCTTTAAACTGGAAAATATTTATCAGATTAATCGATGCTGATCTGGCCAGCCAATCTAAGCTAAGCACAAATACATAAATGGAATAATATTATTCATTACAGTGTGCATCGTACAAGATGAATTAATGGCTTGAATTTGTTGACGTGCAGTTTTACATTTAAGTTATTCAAGCACCACCTTCCCTTAACGATATAAAACTGCTGGTTGGTGCACTTTTCTTTTTTCTTCTGCCATAATTTCTTTAGCGCCTTGTTTTGTGTTCTACTTATTATATGTTATAGTTTGGATTCCTAAAGCTTTTAGTCTACTAACCCATCATCCAAGGGTGGTTTTCACTATAAGTAATGGGTTTTTTGTAGGCGGAGGTAAGAATTTACCTTTTTTTACTATGTTCCATCTGAATTTACTCTGACTGAGAAAAATCTATATTGATTCTGACACTTCTACATCCAACTCACAGATGTAACCTTGCTTTGATAAAAGAAATTATTCATATAACCCTTTTAGAAGTGAAGTTGTAGTCATTTGTTTTGGGCATGTCATTTTCGAGCCTGAAACCTGAAAAACAGGCTCGGGGCTTAACAGGTTAACTAGGTTTGAAAAAATAGTAATACATTATCTCTGTCCATGAAAGAATAAAAGAATGTAAATTAAGTTATAAGGGGAATATAAAGTTGCTGTACATGATCAGACTCCATATAGCCTGATCCTAACGAAGAAATCCACCTAGAACTATAAACAAAAACCTCATTATCTCCTAATAAATCTATCTTAAATTGTGAAATTCAGCTCAACATCCGTGAATGTCAGGGAGCTTTACTTGTCTCTCTCATATAATAAAATCTTTTCAATTTTGGATTTGAGTATTTCTGTCCAACTCACCCTCAGGTCAGCGCTCGGCAGGTATATTCCTTACCTCGGGGTATTGCTGTGTGTTACTGGCAGAGACCGTTTCACCAGCAGTAGCTTCCAGTCCACCCGCCAATCAACCGTCACCAGCCAATCAGAGAGCAAAGGCCCCAGCAAGCTTCGCAACTCCTCCCTGTCTGAGAGCGAATCAGTGAGTGTACTTCATATCTAATCTGGTATGTCTCTGTCTTACACTTCCAATGACAAATGCTTTGAATTACGAGTTGCTGTTGTTTGTGTGTGATTCCCTCAATGTGTTGCCTCAAAGGCCCGCTTCTCAGACACTGAGGAGGACTTGTCATCTCGGACGCCTGACATTCTCCAGTTGTCCGGTGATACCAAACAGGTGCGCCATGCCAGCAAGAGGTCAAAGGTGAGAGGTCGAAACACAGGAGAGTTTGAAAGCACTGCCGCCCACAACCCCACTGACCCAGCCATATGCAACCTCTCACAGATCACAGTAAGTATCAGGGCCTGCTCTATGTCGACATACTGTTACTAATGGCGCATTTCCATTGCAGCGCGTAGCTCGCTTTAAGCGTGCCGTGTCGTGCCGTCCCCTTTTTTGGTTGTGCTTCCACTAGGCCTCGTTCCGGCGCGGCACGGCGCGGGACCACTTTTTCCCCTCTTTTCTGGCCCTAGAAAATTGTGGTTCTATCGGGGCCAACAAACAGGACTGAGTCGGGCTGAGTATGCTAAACTAGAGAGAGGAGCGCTGGCAAGAGGGCTAGAACTACAACAAGATGGACATATTTGACCGTGATTTAATTGTAATACACGTTTCAAAATGATGCCGAAGTAACAACATACTGATACCGGTTAGTAAAAACCATGAATTAATGCTTTGTCAAGTCTGCAGACAGACGGCAGGCGAAAAACCTTTTAAAATTCGTGTTTTTCTAGATGGAGATTGGCTAAGCTAACGCAGTATATGCCCCGATCGTCCACACTCACAACAACGGCCTATACAGACATAAATAAAGCAGCGACTGTATTCACCATGACACAGGCAGTCTGTGGTGTGTACTTGTTTAACTTTTGTCGAGTTTCTGAACATATATAAGGAGCTGTGAGCTCTGAGTGCTCACAGCTAACGGCTGTGTTGTGTTTCTGGATTTCTCATTGAAGATGACGTCACGGCTCCGCCTACACTGCGTTACTATAGTAACTACCCCAGTTCCTAAACTGTAATGGAAGCGCAGCATGAAGTGAGTCGGCCCTGTTAAGGCCCAACGCGGCCAAGCCGTACCGAGCCGTACCGAGTGTGGCCGAGGCCGACCGTGTAGTGGAAATGCGCCATTACATACTTTGTCATTTAGGCCTCAGTGTGAATCTTCTCACATTAGTTTCATGATGAGGCAGGTTCTGCTTCTGTTTTGTCATTAAGTCAAGGCGTATTTTAATCTTCTCCTCCTGAATTTGATAAGTGAGGTCATGTTGTTTTGGAGCCCTGTTAAAGTCAATAGACGTCATGTTTATGCTTGGTATTTCATGGCGAGTAACTCTATGAGGCCATGTCGGTCCGAGCCCCTCTTATAATCCAAGCTCCTCGCGGTTATAAACAGGATTCCTCAGCATGTCATCTAAAGCGGTCATGTTGCTTTAAGGTCATGCGTTTGGATTTCATGACCCAAGTCTTTTTAGGTGTCTGGTTAATGCCTATTTTGTTTACATTATTTTAAATGTTTTGGAGTCAACAACTGAAGGTTCTGGAAATAATAGGTAGCTCCCTTTGTGTAAAACCTGACCACAGACTCTTAGAAATTCATTGGTTAACGTTTTCTATAAGGAAGTTAATACATTTTTTAAATCAAGCAAATCCTAGTAAAATGTGGGTTTTGATACTGCCACTAGTTGACCATCAAGTCGGAATTTCAAATGCTATTCAATCTACATAACCCTTTCAAAACAGTTCAATTGTTCATATGATTACAATGCACAACTCCAGAGTTAAACTAGCAAGTATCTCTGTATCAAGTTTCACCCATGTTTGAGTATGTTTAGAAGAGGTTAATGGTTTTTCACCTTTTATCCTAAGGGCTTCTTTAGTTCTGACTTAGGGTCAGGTTTCGCTTGTTCAGAATCAGATTCAGCCTTCCCTGAATCCTTTATGAAGCTGTGTCCGATCACTTCTGTAACGTTGCAAAACCAACAATCCAAATTCAGACCCACCTCATCAGTCAGCTGTGTGTAATTCAAAACCAGTTTAGGTGAAGTTGTATGTTATGTTTGACTTTCTTTCTCGAAAAGCTTACACATAAGAGCAGCACTATAAATGACTTCCAGGAGAGACCGTTTGAAAATTCTGTCTGTTCTCCACATATGTAAATAACATTGTGTATCTCTCCTCTCCGTGACACCCCTTACACACTTTTGCCACAACATGGGGTGCAAACAAGCTCTGTCCTATATATTTTTTCAAACTTCGACTCGTGTGGCATGTGTCATGGTTTCACATGACAGCAAGGTGGACTAAAGAGCTACGCACCTTAACAACTCTCATGGTGTGAACGACCCCGCAGTCTGCAGAGGTTAAATACCTTTGATTCCTTGACAAGCAGCGAAACATTATCTTAGACTTAACACTTCTAGGCGGTGCACTAAGATCTCCCTTTCAACTGCTAATAGATGCAAGCTGTTCATTCACCAGCTATGTGACTTGAATCATCACCTTTGTTTTCATTCAATAAAAAGTATTACATTTTTAATTTCTTTGAAACATGAGAGATCACATTTGTGAGTGACAGTTTTGTTATTATAATATTATTATTATTATTATTATTATTATTATTATTATTATTATTATTATTATTATTATTAGTATATATCTTTATGGAACAAGTACCATGCATACAAATACATTGATCTCAAAGAGAAGAGATGCTATATGCCAGATTACATCTAAAAACTCATTTCCATCTGCAGTCCTTGGGCAGGTACACGCATAACGATCAACAAACATTAAAACATTTTATGATTAAAACAGATCAAAAATACAGATGTATAAAATATAAATACTAGTACATTTGTCAACGATAACTTTACAATTAATTGAAAGGGGACCTATCATGCAAAATGCACTTTTGTACGTCTTTTATACATGAATATGTGTCCCCGGTGTTCCAGGGAACTCACCAAGTGTCAGAAAACACAACCCTCTCTATTTTCCTCCATACCCAAATCTCTAAAAAAGGGGCTACAACGGATCTGATAAAAACTGATCCAGATTTGAACACTGTCCTGACGTCAGGACGGTGGCGCTACGGCTATTGGGCCAACTCCACCAATCAGGAGGAGACAGCCACGGCCATTGCCGTTCGAAAGCGCTGGAGACGCTGTAGTACATATGCCAGGCCTGTAGATGGTGCTGTTCTCACAGAATCTGCCCTTGCAAAAACAGAGCTAAAAAAGTGCAAATTGAGCGAAATGAGGCATGGCTAAAATGCATGATCTGTTTGGTATTTTGAAAAAGAAAAAAGTATAAATATGCCTTATATAGGTATGGTCCTATACTATATTATTCAAATATAGCATGATAGGTCCACTTTAAACTAACATCTCAAATTAGAGTTAAATTAATGTTGGCAAGACTGGTTGCCCAATATCAATTTCTTTTGCACTCTAGGAAAAATTGTGAAAAATCAGAGAAGGTTTTAAGATCCACTGTTCGATGGCCGTTAATGAGAAAGCTAATTGTGAACCAAGTTGAGTTTCTGCAATGAAGAATATTGTGCAAAGATAATTGGAAAGATCCTAGTTTAAAACATGTAGCGTTTAGCATTTGAACATATCTACATCTTAATGCTTGGTAACACGCAACACTATATATAAGAACAATGCTTCTTGGCGCATGTTTGCGTCATTCAGGCTGATGGACAGGTCACTTTATGTGGGACATCCAATATATGGAGCATTTCCGTCTCTGTGTAATCATCTTAGTTCACTGAAAAACCTCAAATAACCCACAAGTACGCACGTATTCTCACACACACACACATGCCGTACTGCCGTACAGGACTCCATTACAGAGGGACCAAAGACTAATCCAATAATCTGGGAATTTCAGACTTAATCTGCAGCTTGCATGATGTGGCCCCGTGTTTCAACGACTGCACTTGTTGAAGACGAAGACGGATGATTGTCGAGGAGTCTCTGAACTCCATCTGCTTCCATCTCTGCTCAGAGCAAAGGATGGAGGCTCACATTTTTCCTTTCTCTATAATCTCTGGTTACCTGCTTTACTCTTGCTAACAAAGTCATCAATGTGGACAGTGTACTTCTACTGACACACTCTTTGTGATAAATTCAACGTTTACTTTGCTATATGTTTGGATTATTTGGTCTTCATTTTAACTGATTTGTATCTGTTATTTCTATCAAATTATAGTTTTTTTTCTTCTTTACCGAAACCTCTAAAGTTGTTTAATACCTGACACTTTGATACAAGTTTGATATTTTGAAAAAAAAAGCTATCTTTCTTGCAGACCATTGGATGATATAATTGATTCGTCTCCTATGTCTGAAGCTAAATATGAAGCTACAGCTTGTTAGCTTAGATTAGCATAGAGACTTGATACAGTGGTAAGCAGCTAGTCTGGCTCTGTCCAAAAATGAGAAAATCTGCTACCGTAACAGCCCACGCATTAACATTTTATAACTTATTTGTTGCCAGGCAACCCTACAGAGATGACTAGACAAATGAGGACATTCCCTAAATGTCAAACTATATATTACTTTGTATAACTCAGTGTGTTTCAAGAACATCATGAGATTGTGAGTGACCCCTTTTTCAATGATAATGCTAAACCTGTTGTTGTTAGCACAGCAGATTGTTGCTGGTATAAGCTGATTGCTATGGGAGCAAACAACATGATCTACTTTTCAAAAGGGATGCTTGTCTCTGAACAGCTTTGTTCAAAAGTCGACTTGGAGTTGATTTGATTGAACAGAATGTGGCTTTAATAGTATATCACTTTTTTAATCTCAACTTTAACTTAATAGCTGTGTTTCTTTGGGTACTGTTCAGACGCTGACAGAGCCTGAAGACATCTCCATGACAGACATCGGCCTGCAGCCCACCAGTCATCAGCCTGCTACTGTAAGAGACCCCAATTGTGCATTGCATGCTCTTTGCAGTAAATGTAGTGTCCTTTGTTTGAAAAAGAATCCCAAGAAATCTTTTGCAATTAATGAATCCTACTAACACCTGTAGAAAATGTCTAATTTAGCTCATACATTGGAGCTTTGAATGTCCAGTCTTTAAGTGAGATGTATTTTCAAAGGTTTGTTTCTTATGAAACTGCTCCAGGTTTTCTTTATGCCAACTACTGTAGGCGTTTCAGTCAGTTGTGATTTCTTTGGAGAGTTGTTTTCATCACAATAACAGCATCAGAACAGTTGATAAGTTAATTCTCTCCCTTCACCTCCATCTTTGATCATTTCTCTTTCACACAAGCATCCATCCCATTGCTCACATTTGACATGTCGAGCCTCTCTCAATACCTGAACATCTCTCTCTCTATTCCTTCGCCCACACAGCTGGACAATGGGATGGAGGAGTCTGGGCCAAGGATTGCGTATACGACAACGCCATCCGTCATTGTAACATCCATATCCAGCCCAGCTATACTGCATAGTCCCCCAGGTTTCCATGGCAACTTTAAATTGACCAAAAGGCACAGCCCGGTTGTCAAGGAGCCCCTTGACATAGCCAGGATGGAGACAACTGCATTACCATAGACAGCTGAACAGAAGTGCAACAACAGTGTGTAACTATGTGTGTGTTTCAATATTTCCTCTCAAGGAGTTTTATTTTCCAGCAAGCCGTTTGCTAGTTATGTTAGGAACCTCTTTTCTAAAAACCACGCACACATCCCAGTGCCTGATAGAATGGGAACTGGATCAAAGTAATATTTAAAAGATTTAAAGTTTGAGGAAAGGCCTTGATACATTATACAGCGTCAAAAACACGTCTACTTGGTGTGCCGGTCTATTTGTTTCAACTGTGCCAGTTATGGAAACTCAGAAGCAGAGCATGCTCTTTATTTATTTTTGTATTTCAAGTTCATTTAGATAGGTATTTGCACAAACATATGTGCGTTTTACTTATTTCGACATATCAAGGTGACGGTGTATTTCGGAGCCAGAAGCAACAAATTAGCCTTAAGAAGACAATGTTAAAAGTGAAACCTGATTGTTGGTTGAGATTCTTGTCATAATGTTTGAGAAGAAGAAACCTAAATATGTTTTGGAAAAGGTTTATAATTCCAAGACAAAAACATAGAGAGCACTGAGACTGGAAAACAAAATGGGACTACATGTTCAGGTTGCCAAGCCCTAAAGCATATGCTGCTTCATTGTCTCTTTATATCTAGAGGGGATTCATTTACAAAATTAACATGATGCTTTATAAAAGAAGAATTACAACCTGTCAGGAAAATAATAACAGATGCTGGCTGCTGTATATTAAAGAGAGTCTCATTTAAGGATCTTCGACATTGGCTTCACTTTTAAGACCTGGAAGTTGTTGCTTAGTTAAAATATTACTGTTAACAAACCATAAGCTAATTCTGGGGCAATATGACTACAACTGGGGATATCAAAAAGGTCATTTATGATCCATAATTTAAACACTATATAGGTTAAAGCATACATTACTTGCAATTTTAACACAAACGCAGTAGCTACATGGTTTCCATTCATTTAATTTTAAAAGCATGCTATTTATTCAATTTATTTTTCTTATAATTAAATGATTTCACAAATAAGTACAATCCTTGATACTCATGCAAACATTTATCTTGTTTGAGTTTTGGTTTTTAATCGATACCTAATCATATGAGAATATACTATAAATACAGATATTTAAAATGCATTAAGCAGAATTGTCTTTATTTACATTGAATCAAATTACTTCTGGAACAGGTGGTAGTTTAGTACCATGGCACTATGCAGATCTAAGCCACCCTTGAATTGTGGTTTTCTTTCTGAAAAAATAAAATAACAATAAAACCTTTTACTTATAATACAACTGTGAGCAGTTCCAGTTACAGGAGTTAGCAAACTGGCCTCGCACAATGTTGAATTAAACGAGTATCTTTTAAAATATGTATCAATATCTTTTTTTTCTCAGGAGCTGAAATGATAGTAAATACTGGATGTACATTTAAAATCTGGCTAGAAAGTGAACTTTATTTGGATGCTCATGTTTGTGCCGTTTATACTAGACGTGTATGTAAGCGGTTTGCTAGCACCTTTGTTTACCATAAATCAAATGTATTCAGGTACAGTAGCACACATGTCGATGTTTTACCATGTTGTTTTCTTTTGTGTATTTCTTTTATGTATTGTTTCGAAAGAAAAAGTCATGTTGGAAAACTGCGGAATGTTCAGATTGACTTAAATGTCTCTTGGGGTGATGCATTCATTCAAAAATGAAGCAAACCCTCCTATTGCAATGCAGCAGCTTCTAATAATAAAATGTAATTCAAATCAACCTGTGGACAACACTTCTAATACTTTATGATGACTAGAAGAAACTGTGGTCAACACTTAATGCAGCTTTAATATAATGTTTAATTCTGGCTCTGTGTCAGTTGTTGTCCCGTCACTGGTAACATTCAGGACCACAGATCAGGTCTATAGTACATCACCCAATACTTTGTAAGTATGTGAAAATGAGTGTGAAGAACTGGACACTGTTCTAGCATTTCTATGATGATTGCCAAACCTTGCTTTAATATCTACTTTTAGATATGCTGATGACGGTAAGCTAAATTACTTTTTGAATATTGAGTGTGGTTTCAGGATTGTTATTGTAGATCTCATTTGTGCAGAACACCAATTATGTTTTAACATATCCAAAGCTCTTTCTCCACTTCTGTACATTACCGTTCTAAGTGACATTCCTATGATTGCTGCATCATTGACTATGATTGTAATAATTGTTCTTTTAAATGAAATGAAACTGTAACATATACAAATATTAGTTAATGAGGCAACAAATGTTTATACAATCCCGCCGCTGCTCATTTGTCCTGCATTTCCTATAAATGAATGTACAAACTTTATGACCAAACAAATATAAAATATACTGTATATATAAATGACATTTTAATTCTGCTTAAATGAAGTGATGGTTTCATGTTGATTTTGTACAAAATGTTTTGTGTTGTTACTATTATTTATTTTTCTAAACAATAAATGTTTAAGACATTCTGTACGGTGTCTTCATGTATTGAACTAACCATGTATCAGGCTAGGGCTGCAACTTATGATAATTTCCACTATTAATTAATCATACATGTTCTTTTTTAAATTATTAATTCAGATTCACCACTCACTTGTGCAGTACAGTGGTCTTCAATATTCTTTGCTTCTCTAGAGACACACACAGTGGTAGTATTTGTTGGAAAAAAGCTAAACTCTCGCCCCGCTAACATAAATATTCACATACACGCATTAAATTACAGAACCATACGCATTGGGGTCGTATAATGAATGATCTGTCCATCATTATCCACTGACCAGTGCTTTCATCAGGTCCGTTTCCTGAAAGGAAGACATCCATCTAGCACAGCAGCAGATAACAGCAGGGACATGGTGATGTCGGATAGCAGGGGGGCATCAGTGTCCAATATTTCAAAGAGCAGATGTGATGGAAGGTGTTCCTGCATGCTGTTTTGGCCTGAAATAGGAATCTGTGCATAACCACAGCACAAAATACCGCCCTGCAGAGGTGAGTGTTGGTACTCTGTTAACATCAGCAGAGGGTGTATTCCCACATGCATCCTCTCAAGTTTGCTTCAAATTGCATATTATTGGAATATTATTGATGATATTTAATGTCTCAGGAGCGTTATACTTATGGGTCAGGGTTGCTCGAGGGAGAGCTAATTTTAAATACTACTATACTGTTTGGTATTTTAATCTTTAACAGTGCAACATATTTTATCACCTCCTAAATGTTGTATTTAAATCTTGATCTGTATAGTTACTGCTGCTTTAGGATAAATGCAGTGCAAAAACATTATATACAATGTACCAATCTTAAAGTAATGCAAAACTACCTCAAATGTATACTTAAGTACATTATTAAGTACAGTAAATGTAATAAGTTATATTCTATCCGGGAAGAAAAACAGAGAAATGTAATCTTTATAATGCTACAAATATATTGTAGTTTAAACATTTCTCGTGTGTGTGTGTGTGTGTGTGTGTGTGTGTGTGTTGTGTGTGTGGTGTGTGTGTGTGTGTGTGTGTGTGTGTGTGTTGTGTGTGTGTGTGTGTGTGTGTGTGTGTGTGTGTGTGTGTGTGTGTGTCTGGCGTGTCTGTGTCTGTGTCTGGTGTCTGTGTCTCTCCTTTTTTGTGGCTAGAGGAATGACTGGGATTATTTATGATTTCTCGTTTACGAATACTACTTGGTCATTGTCCTGAGGGTTAACTTTGTTGTCGCTGTCATTGATCTTCTTTCCTACAAAGTACTGTATGGGTCTGACTTTGTTTTATCAGCTTATTCTAGTTATTGCCTTTAGATGGGTCACTTATGCTTTACTCCCCTGTGTTGCCAGAAGTCAAGAGGAGTCACATGTCCCACCTGAGGCGTTAGCCCTCCTGCCAGGAAAATAAATAACCCTCCTTAGGTGCAATCACTTCACTTTTGCCATAGCTACACACACACACATCCAAGTAAACACATCTACAAAGCAACTAAACTTCTGCTTTTTATATGGGCTCAAAATTCCGTCTGCTCCATTTATCAGCTCACTAAACTTCAACAATTATCAATCAAACTTCAAGCGAACGAAAGGATAGACATTGAATTATTATTAGTATTATTATTATCATTATTATTATTATTATTATCAATCTGCTTTAATGTACTCTATTAAGGAAATTGTGTCTCTACTCTTGGTATGCACTGGTGCTTTGATTTGTTTATGCCTTTAGTTATTTATTTTCTTTGAGAAAAACAATACTACCTTCTTTACTGCCCTCATTGTATTTTCTCCACACGTTGTCTCGTTGTGTTTGTTTCATGATCAATTGTGCCCGGGTTCATCCTTTGAATTAAACCCAAGGATTCAAAACAGGCTGTCAAAGTGGCCAACGAAGTGATTGTCGCAGGACCGTTATTGTAAGGGCCGACGATAAGGCTCAAGTGATCCTTGCATAACTCTTCTGATAACAGAGGTTGACCTTTTTCATTCAGGCTGTCGCTGCAGGATGTTTAAAATAAAAAGGAGACAGCGGGTCCTGTGGCTATTTAAATGCTAAATAGGTTGATGGAAACTTAACTTAAAGTTCAAATGAGAAGATTGACCTGTTTCATGTGTTTACAACAACTTTGAAACTACAAGGCTATTAGCTTAGCACAAACATCTTATACTGCTTGCACAAGCAAAAGGGACAAATGATTGATGCAAACACATTTTTTCAACATTTGACAGAGACAAACTGTTCCCCTTTGATTTCGTTATGCTAAGCTAATTTTACAGTCTTCGCTTTGACTAGCGGACAGTGGCACCTTCTTATCCATCATAACCCTGCATAACCCTGCAACAAAGAAACAAGTATACATGTGAAACCAGAAAAGCTATTCAAGTGTGTCATCATTACGAACCTGCTCAGGGATCAAAGGCCATCTCTTGTATCTCTGTCAAATCAGGTGTTTTGAATAACACAGGTGCACAAACTTCTCAATTTCAGTGTCTGTCTGATATATCGGAATATGAATAGTCAGGATCTATCACACAGTGTCAGTGTTCACTTGACCTTAACCGCTCTGGTTAGTTGCTAATTGAATTGCTTATACACACACGTTAACACAAACGCAGACAAAACAGGTGCAGCCTCGTGCGAGTGTTTCCAGGGTAACACAGCTGGGTAATTTGTTGTTTGCTTCTCTCGAGCAGAATGAATGATAGCGAAAAGTGAAAAGCGAGTGACATCAGTGCACAGAGGCTGATTATGGATAATAGGATGCTAGCAGCATGAACTGATAGCACTAAGAGAGGGAGAAAGAGAGAGGGAGAATGTGTTGCAGTAAGAGGGGTCTATATTGGCGATGTGAATCGGCAGTGAAGCATTCTGGGGCTTCAGGTTACAAGCCTTATAAGGGCCAGGGCCTCTGTGTCTATGCTCACCTCGGCTATTCTTAGGCTGTCTGTCCCTCGCCCTCAGCAACTCTGCAGGCAAGAAACTCTTCTCTCTTGTTATTAACTTTAAAGTTGACCTTTTGGAGCTTTCTAAACTTTGAGGTTTGTTTAGGGCATTTTTGGTTTGAAATTGAGGATGGTCTAATCAGAAAATATGTACTGTTGTTCTTCAGTGGCTCAACTTTGCTCAGCACTTGCTTTCTGTGTATGACTATCTTCACGTATGTGTATTTGTGTGCACCAATGCATGCCTGTGTGTGTGTCACAGAGGTCCCACAGCACCTGACCCACCCACCCCACACCAACACCACCCCAGGGTGTTTGTCCTGAGAGCTGGGAGCAGACAGGAAGATAAGCCAGGCCTGACGGAGAAGAAGCTACCACCGAGGCCGACCGGGACAAAAGGATATCAGTGGAGGACGGGAACACAGCACCAGGAGGAGAAAACACACAGCAAGCAGGAGTTGTTAGCGGGAGGAGTGTTGACGTTTGACCCAAGATGAGTTCGTACACAGTGACTCTGAATGGCCCTGCTCCATGGGGCTTCAGACTACACGGAGGAAAGGACTTCAACATGCCACTCACCATCTCCAGGGTAAGGACAGTCAGACTGCTGTGACAAACTTAGAAATAACGATTAAGCAACAACAACAAAATCCACATTGAGCAGGTATGGCACAAAAAAATTGCAAACTGTTTATTAACTGTGACAAAACATGCTTAACATTGTGATCTGGAATGATTTCAAACTCGAGATGTTGAACATGGTAACCTGATTGCCTGACTTTGGCAAATGGATGTACTCAAAGGTAATAAAATAACAACATATACAATGATGTAACAACACAACCTTTAAAAAACATTTTATAAATGTACTGCTTAAAGCGGCACACCTTTAATGATTTGCAGTAAAAAAAAAAAGAAGCAATTAAGTTGTAAACGTTTTTTGTTGTTGTATGCTTTTAAAATGTATTTAGCTCAGTTTTTGAATCACCTTTCCACCTTGTTTGGCAATCATCTCTTGCATGTTTAACTTGGTTAAGCTTGTGTCTTGCATTCGGTAACTGTATTTGTTGTGAGAGAGCAGTGGGCTGTGCAGTGGTTCATGTAATGTTGCTGTTTGTGATGATGACAGGGAGGCTCAGATATAAAGTCCAGAGAGATTTCAAGAATAGAGCAGCAGTGGAAAGACTGGAATAGTTTTAAAGGAGGAGAGGAGCTGCTGCATTTGGCCAATTTTACAGAGTTTTCTTGCCCTTGATAAATAGGTATGATATTTACTTTGATCACATTACAGCCACGCTTAAAACCCCCCATCTTACTTCATAATCACATTAATCATGAATACGTTTAACTACTTTTTGACTCAGCACAGTCAAATCATTCATTCAGGTTGAGGGCTTTTAATGATGTTGAGATAAATGGACTTATTTTAACATCTATAGGACAACAAAGCAAAGTTAAGATCTGGTTCTTCTTTCGCAAATGACAACAAACATACTACTTTTCTTTCTAGTACATGAAACCTTATGAACCACAAGTTTACATAAAGATTATCAGCATATGATTTTTGGAATTTAAGGAAAAAGGGGAAATACAATTCCAAATAAATGAGTTTTAAGCTCTGCAGCAGAGCGCCTGGGTGTCTCTCTCTCACACTGGCAGGACTGCTGGTGTATTTAAAGGGTTTCCTTTAAATAGCACTGGAGGAGAGGTGGACAAATGAAGAGGGTTGGTAATGGGGCTGGACAAAACAGGGAGGCTAATGGCAGCTTGTGTTACCTTAAGTAAGCGTTATTCCTCCCTTATAGTCACCTCACCTAAACAGCTCATGAGATCACAGTGTTGTTGTGAAGGATGGATGGAGGATTTGAGAGTTTCAGGGGATGAGAAGAAAGTAGGGGAGGGGACGCTCGCCTGAGAGTTTGGACGCTAGCTGGCATACTTTAGTCCAGATTGATGCTCTGCTGCCTGCTTTATATTGATTGTGTTAGGTCATCCTCTTCTGATCCCCTAGTCTTAGGCAACCAGGGGGGGGGGGGGGGCTTTGATTTGTGTCCGCTGTGGCTTTGTTTCATTGGATTTAGGTTCATCCTGTGGTCTGACCGGTATAGATAACACACGGCAGCTTGACATGACTACTTGGGGTGCCATTACAGTTTGACGTAACACCACTGCGGTTTGGTATTTCGGACGGCTTTTTTTCCAAGAACTCAGACAGGAAAGAGGAATGCAGAAAGTGTATTTCTGACATCTTGTTACCCAAGCTGAAGCAATGTCCATTAAATAAGTGACACACCTAACTCTTTTGCCACTATCCAGTTATTTTGTATGACTGTTAGTGGGATTTTCTTGTTAGAAATTCTAGGAATCAATTCAATCTTGAATCTTTGTATCTGTCTTGAGTCTAAACAGCTGTATGGACACCATCAAAAAAAAAAAGAAGAAGCATGTCTGTGGTCCAAGTAGAATAATATAGAAACACATGTTTTTTAGATAGAAAACCTGCGAGAAACAATTTAAAAAAGAAAACTTGGATCAAAATCGAATAAATGTTTGCTCTTGAAAGCCATTAAGTAAAAGAAAATGTTCAAAGAGTGAGTCCCCATATCCATTTCCTGTTTTTCGTCAGTTCTATTTGAAGTGGCTCTTGATCACATGCATGACAGTTGTTCATGCATGTTTAAATACCCAGAGGCAGATATGAAAAATTCTTTTTTACCTTAAGTTTACCTTAAGTAACTGCTTTTCACACTCTCATACACACACGCTCACACAAACACTACACACACACATTTATACCCATACAGACAAGGACTGTAATTCAAAGGAAGACATTTTGTTCAAAAATAGACAAAAGGAGTATCAAGGACGCATTTCTTTGACACCAGAGAAAGTAGAACCAATAAGTGGTATGATGTTGATAAAGTGTGGATTGTAGAAGAGTTTACATTATTCAAGGAAGTGTTGCATGAATGTCAGTAGCAGGTGAGTATGTTTGGGGGGTGAAGGGGGGCTCAGCAGGGTCATCGGCGGCGTTGCTTATTTTTAACTATTTAACGAGGCGACTGTAAATCTAGACCTAATACTGTATGCTCCAGGCCTCTGGCTCTCTCAGAGTCTCTCCTCCGTGTAGTTTAAGCGCTAGAGTCTGGCTTTGTGGCCAGCATTAGGACTCAGCTAAATATCATTGTATGGTGTGAGAATGGAAAAGAGTTAAAAACGTGTTCTTATTGATTTCAGGGTCAGGCAGCCTTGGTTTTAGCTGTAGAGACAGATTAGATACTGGAATCAAAAAATTGGTTTCACTCTTTTTATAGAAAAACCTCTGAGGGTTGTTTATTGAGCATCTACCATATGTACAGTGAGTTGCTGAATTGCAGAGGGAAAGCATTTCTTAGTTTTCATTCATCAATGGCAAATTACTCCTAACTATCCCTCCAATCTGTCATGTGTATCTGTACACATGTTCCAGTTGCTTGTTTGTTTCCTGCGGAGTCAGGGGTCCCAATGTGACCTGTTCTCTTGACCCCTCCATAGATAACTCCGGGGAGCAAGGCGGTGGGCGGCAGCTTGGCCCAGGGCGACATCATCTCAGCCATCGATGGGGTCACCACCGAGGGGATGACGCACATGGACGCCCAGAACAAGATCAAGTCTGCCTCCAACACACTGGCACTCACCATGCAGAAGTAAACAACCAGCACACTTTCCCTGTCCGTTAAACTTAAGTAGAACAAGCTAATTTTAGGTACTGGATATTCCCCTAAGAAATAACATAGAGAAGCTAAATCAATGTGGGAGTTTAAGAGGAAATCATTGTTATAAATGGCTGGGGCTTTACATTAGTGCACCTACAAATATATACATCAATTGGTTCTCATGATATGTTATTTATTCACTGTAAAATGCCTTTAGATTATCCAATACAAAGTGGTGAAATAAGGTGTTACACTATATTTTAAATGGCTATTTTGTCATTTCATTTCTAGATCAAGACGTGCAGCAGCATTTTCAACTCCAAGAATGGACTCCCCCATGCCAGTCATCCCCCACCAGAAGGTACAAAGAGAAACAAAAAAATAATGACCAAAAATATTAATCAACACAAACATTTGCGGCTGTAAAACTGCATATTTGTTCATGTTCGTAAATGTGTCTGTCATACCTGTTATGTACGATTGTTTGTGATAATCTTCACCAGTGTCCTGCTGCCCTCTAGTGTCAAATATTCATAGTGCAACAGCAGGAAGGCCTATGCAGAGGTCAAAGGTCAGCAATCCAAAAGAAAGGAATATGAAGACGGAAGCTGATGCCTTTACTCTCGTTTCACTTCAAAACCTTTCTTTATACCGATCTTGACCTCTTCTTATCTTTTAAGGATTTAGAGGTCGGGCCTAAACATTTCGGAGAGGAAGTTCAAATGCTCCAAGTTGGTAAAAAAGACCCCGATCTCCTATCGACCCCGGTCAAAACCTCTGCCTCCTCCTCACCGTCTGCCCTATCTCCACCCGGCCAGGCGGGGCAGTACAATTCCCCAGTTGGCCTTTACTCTGCTGAAACTCTCAGAGAAATGAGGATGATGCAGGGCAATTTAGGACAGGGGTCGACAGCTTCCTTGGGAGTTTCATCACTGTGGTAGGTTACCTTACAGTTTTTAAATACTAGGAGAAGAAGATGTAACTCCTTACGTGATAACACCAACACCAAACGCCAGCTGACGTAATGACACTTAACTAAAGTACTACTTTTCACTCTGTAAGAATGAAGCAAAAGCACCTCACATCCCCAGTTAACCTCACATTAACTGTGCCTAAAGGAGAAAATATACTCAGAACTTTCCATCGGTATCCCAGCAGTCATTCCTCTCACACATTGTGCTATTTTGGGAGCGTACACACAAACATACCTGGCTGGCATCCAGGTGACAGAGTGACAAGAGATCCGACTACAGGAATGAAACCAGGGAGATGATGTTGCAAATATTCTTTTTAGAGAAACCTTTTTGCTGTTTCAACTCTCTGATTTCCATTTTTGAGGCTTTTTATCTTGCGTATCTGTCCGTCCTCTGAGTTTTAAATACAGTTATATCTAAATAAGCTCGGACTTGCGTGTGAAGCTTGGTTAAATTGCTGGCGAGGTTACAGGAAGGTGACGTTTTGACACTAGAGTCCCATTGTAGGGGCCACTATCGTACATTTGGGGGTTGAGGCCTAAAAAAACATGTTTGCAGGCTCAAATAAATGTTATCATAATGAAGGAACACATACGTGGAGCAACAATACAATAGGATGTATACAGTAGGGCTTTCATTACACGGACAATACAGTGGTGGGTTTTTTTTTTAACAAGAAAAACTGTTTACTAGGTTATTTCTTTCACAATACAAAGTCATTTCACCTTGAATTGCCAAATCATCAGTGCCTTTATCTCGACTGTACTGTGTGCTGTACTGAGTAAAGGTCAGTGGGAGTTAAGTTGAGGCCACAGTTTTAGGGGAACTCTCCTCAGGGGTACAGTATGGCATGGGTATGGTGAAGCCGTGAAATACTTGTAGATGTTAATTAAGGATGCGATCTGCTTTGACTCTGACCTATGTCACACCCAGATATCAGTCTTTCCTAATGTGTTTCCCTTCTGGAGCTGAGCTGCTTTACAGGAAGGGCCAACGGTAAGTCAGGTGACGATGACGCCAGTATCATGCCAGCAACCCCACCTCACCTAGCGCACACACACACACACACACACGCACACGCACACGCACACGCACACGCACACGCACACGCACACACACAGGAGAGAGCAGCTGTTGGTAGGGGAATGTTCCACTCCGGTTACACATCATCATCCTGAATCCCCTGGATGCCCCCCTGCCAAACCTGAGATACCCCACGTGTGAGGTGCTGCCGAGCACGTTCCACCTCACCAACTGTACCCCGAACACTTCCATGTACTGTACGTTCTATTCCACTGATTGATGTGTTGCACTCCCATTACTGCGATGGTAGAGTGAAACTGAACACATTTACACTGATTTACAGGGAGAGCTTGTCCAAGAATAGCAGCGAAAAATGTCAGGCACACATACCAAACACATTTAAGCAACCTTTAAAGTGATCACAGAAAACATTTGCACAGATAAGGTTTAGATTACAGAGATAAGGGCTGATTTAAGTAGCTTTTCAACCAGGAAGGAATTACACATAATTTAACCAAGAGCGCACTCGGACAGCGCAACCTCCGAGAAGGCCGAATGTACTCTCTTGCAATATTAAGAAAACATTGGCCCAAACTCTTCCTTGTAATATATTTGAAAAAACAAACACCACGGCGCGAAGTGGAATTTCGTCTTTGAAAACTTAGCAGGTAACAAGCTAGCAAGAGATCAGCAGGTCGGCTGCCTGCTCCTAAACTGACCACGGTTGGTCTTTAATTTGCAATTGAAAGATGATGATTAAATAAAAAATGTAGATTTATGGCAGTTTGATCAATTTTACCGAGCAGAGGCTTGTGCCGCAGCCCAGAAAAGCTGTATTGACTTTTAAAAATTAAAATAAAGTTCTGATAATACGGCCATCAAACGCCATTAATTACACATTTTGATATTTGAAACCTTTTGAACTGGTTCTACAGGATCTGAGATTTCCTAGTATAGGCAAATGAAAGGTTCAATTATTACACGTCTTCTTGGATTTGGCTGCAGTTCTGACACAGGTGGTATGGATGTGTTTTTGTAGCGGTGTTTATTTGTGGCTGTTCTGTGCTAAATGTGTCTCGGTGTCGTGTGATCGAGACGCTTCTGCTCTTGTCAGTCACCGATGACGCAGGGGACGCTGGGAAATATCCCAGTGATGACAAACGGCTGCTATTCTGACCTGTACATGGGATTACAGCATAGTGTTGTAGTTGAATAGTTTCCTCTGCAAACACAGTGCCATTGTTATCACCAAAATACCCTCTGGTCATTTTTGACACTCTTTCCTCCTCTCTATCTGTCTGTCTGTCTGTTCCTCTCTGGTGTGTTTCAGGTTATCGCAAACACAGCTGCAAAGTCAGTACCGCCACATGTCTCGAGTATTTGATGTGCATGAAGAATACATCATTAGAGAGAGTATTCTTTTTCTGAGATTTGGGTGTGGAGTGAAGTCATGTCCAACATGCAGTCGTGAGCATGAAGTTGAACCAGCAGATCGAGTGTGCTGATCATTTGTTCATGTTATTAACAGCATACAAGTGAAAAGTAACTCTTTACATCTACTCAAGTACAGATCTTCAGAACAGTTTGAAGTTGCTGCTGCTTTACTTGAGTGAATTGTGAAAGATTGTTTTACTTTTCCTTCGACTATACTTCCTTTCATCTATTTAACACATTCCGTAGTAGTACGTTCATAGATAAAGATTTCTGCTTGAAGATGAATGATATTTAGTTTTGTATGTTGGAAAAGTATTTTGTGAAGGCCAAATATATTTTAAATGTAAAGCTTTGGTAGGAGTAAGCTACAGTAGAGATACAAAATGATCCAACTCTAAAACCCAGCATATTGTAGCCATCCCTTTCCAGTGTAATCAGATAGCAACATTAGCTCCAAAACCCATCAATCATGGCTATTCATCATCAGCTTTATTGAAGAGACTCAAGGTCCATTTTTTAAAAGACATACAACACTCAAATATAAATTAACTATTGTTAGTACTGCTGCTGTTTCAATCCATCCATCCAAAAAACACAGTTAGTGATTTCTACTTTACTTCAGTACTCAATGATTATTTAGTACTATATGATATATGATGTTTTCCAACTCCTTTAGTCTATAGCATTTACTGTATATACTTTTTCTGAATGGACCGCAGTATATTACCGTGTGTGTAAATGCATGTGGTGTTTTGTGTGTCATACATCCATGTTTGGCAGTATCAGTAAAACATCATTTTCAGCGTGTGTACAGTATTTTGCTGTCTCATTTGAAATATGCAGATATTAATCTGTTTGGGTGTGTTACATTAGCATGTTTGTGGGTTTGTGGACTGGTATGTCAGCACTTTTGTCCTCTCCTTCTAGAAGCTTGTATTTTGTCATGTACAAAATAGTATTTCAGCGTCAGGTTGTAATGGATGAAGCCTCTGTCCCTATTCCACACTGCATGGATATATATGATAACATTGTATCATGTAGTTAAATGTTCCATAAGCTAAGTCACAGTAAATGCTGGGAGTGATATATCCACTTTGTAATTATTCTGAAGAGTCTTTTTTTGTAGAAATATTAGACAATCCAAGTGAAAGTTGATATATTAAAATCATATACAAATTATTTTGTGTGTGCAAAGTTAGGAACAAATTCCATACGTAGAGGCTTTAACATGGAGAAAGAGAAATGTGTTTCCAAAATGTCTCTATGTTAATGTTTCTGCTGTGTGTTACTGCATTTTTTTTTAAATACCTGTGGTGAAGATAAAGCTTCTTAAACCTGCTTAATTTGAACAATTTGAGTGTGAAATCCTGAAAAAAGTTTATATTGTCTGAGCAGTATGGACCTGGGACACAGCTACAAAGTGTGATGTGATTTTGTCTGTGTAGTTGAGTCTATTTTAGGTACAGTAGGTCTCCAAAAGTGAATATTGAGCAGTACAACAGCCCCTCCTGTCTGTCAGCAACATTAATACACGTCCACCCAGTTTCCTTCACTTTGGTGCTTTCTCCCTTTTCTTTTCTCTCAATTCCCCCCCTCCTCCCCTATCCTTTAACCTCTCATCTACACCTGAAACCTCTCCACCCCCTTCACTGACCTCCGACCCCACTCAACACTGACAGTTTGGAGTACTCCCCCAGCTTCAACCCCATTGCTCTGAAAGACTCGGCCCTGTCCACCCACAAGCCCATTGAGGTGAGGGGTCCGGGTGGAAAGGCCACCATTGTTCACGCCCAGTACAACACACCAATCAGCATGTACTCACAGGACGCCATCATGGACGCCATCGCAGGGCAGTCGCAGGCTAAAGGGCACGACAGGTGAGGTCACACAACCTAAATAATCCTCTCTCCAGATTAATGAGCACTTTGCACTCACACACTTCACATCACATGACCCGCTTGTTAAGGAATTAAAGGATAAGATTTCCCAAATTACAAAAAAACATACTTACTCGCTCACTTCCTGCTACTGGTATTAAGCCATTTATTCTGGGGTGTCATTTGCAGATTTTCTTTGATATTTTTTTGCCGAAACTCTAATCCTGGTCTTATTCTCATAGAACATTTGCTGAGGCTCATTACCTTTCTATTCAGCATGGAAAACTGCAACGTAACTTCATACAGCAGTTTGAATGATATCTCACGGGAAAGTTTGTAACTTTTGGGCGTTCTCATTGGAGTGATCAGTGATCATGTGCAAGCACCTGCGTTGATATCCTGTTACTTGGTGTGGTTTAGGAAAAAGTCCTGTGATTTCAGAACAACCCATCCACCAAGACCTCCTACCGATGCAGACTTTGTCATTCTTTATTCTTCGACATGTGTCCTGGCTTATGATTGTGTGGAAATGCGAACTGATTATGTGGGTTGTGAACAAATGATAGTGCAGTGTATGAGAATATCCCGAAAAATGCCAGAAAGTTGAAATATATAAAACTGACACAAACCTGTTGTATCTATATATAATCCAGGAAGCCTTTTTTGTTTCAATTCCAAAGATATGCTAGATATCAGTAGCAGTCAGAAGTGAGAAAATATGTTGTTGTTTTTTTCCGATTGAAAACCATTTTATGGACCCATCTCCTGAAAAGCAGCTTTAAATCATGTAAGCCTACCTTTTAGCCTATGCTGCTACAACTCTACTTTACCCAAAGCGCGGGCTTTTCCATGTTGTCTTTGTCCGTGCCCCGTACTCCTTTGTGCTTTTCACCCACTTTCCTCTGCTCATTCCATCCACAACCAAAAAAACAAACAACCTACCACACCTGTGCCGTCCTCCACCTTCCCCCCCCCCATCCTTCCTCCCTGGTTATGACCTCAGCGAAGAGGTGGGCTCCCCCTTGTCGTAAGTACAGCAGCGCTCCTTTTCTATCCCGCCTCTCCTCGCCTTTGTCTTATAATTTAAAAACAGCTTGTGCATTGCTCCTTGTGTCCCCTTAACTAATATCCCTGAACTATTATAATATTAATATAATTAGAATTAATATTATAATAAATAATACTGTGGAAAATGTTGACAAATACCACAGCATCTTATTGTCCATTTTGATGTGTTTTTTCTTGTGTCCGAGTATGATGTATCATGTTCAAACTCACTAACCAGGAGTTCATTTTCCTATCTAGAAGTACTTAGAGGTACTTTGGTGAAAGTGTGAGAGTGTGAGATGAGTTCAGGTTTTCTTTTGAAGCAGCCAGTATCATCACAGCTTCGGGAACCTGATGGGAGTTCATGGCATGGGAATGTTCTGAGTATCAAATCTCAAGTTTTTAAAACATGTCTGCTAGATCGGTACTGACTCACTTTTCTAACACTCATTGAAGAATACCAAGAAAGGCACTATCCAGTCTTGTTGCTTTGTAATCTCGGTTCAATATCTACTGTTCACAGTTATCTTAAACGTGGAGTTTATAGCAACAAGAAGCAACAATGCAATTATTGATCTAAGAGTAATAACTGCCCATAATGTAATACAATCTGGTTTAATAAAGCTATTAATAACAAAAAGGTGTAGAATAGCCAACATTGGGCCCATGTACTAGAGGATCCGGGTTCGAATCCAGCTCAGGTCCATCTGCCGCATGTCATTTCCTCTGCCTCCCCATTTCAACTCTGTCTCTACAATAAAGGCACTGGTTGCCCAAAAAAAAGAATAGTCAACATTATTTGGAAGTCACCAATCAAAGTAGCACACGTTTTAATAATCAGGATTTTTAGCTTGGTAATTTTATTATTTGAATAGAAATAACAATGTAAGGTATCATGTTGTCGGCCATTAGTGTTGGGAAATAATGTCTCCAAATGGCTCTAAAATGTGTTAAATTATTCAGCCGTTTAGAAAAATACACCTGAAGCAAGACACCTAAAACATGAATGGACATTTACTTAAGTCGAGTTGACTTGTGCTTTCCATTTTTAGTCTCAACTTCAATACATTCAAAGGCAATGCTTGTATGATTTTTAAAATAGCTTAAGTTGCTTCTGACTTAATAAAAAATTAATTAAAAAAAAGTATTAAGAGTATTTTTCCTTTTGGTATTTTAGATATATTATCAATGCTTATACTGTATGTGTTATGCATTGACTAAAGTTAAATGTTAAATATACTTTATATATATATTAAAGATACTTTTACTTGTAACATACGGTTATTGCTACTTTTCTCTAACGATAAGATTTGAGTACTCGATTCACCACTGCCAAAAACCAACAAAACAAAAACACAAAAGTAATATCAACTCTTCAGTTGTAGATGATATTACATCCTGGGCATTAAGTACTTTATGATCATCTAACATATTAGTTGGCTTTAAATACAGTTCACACTACTCAGAGCTCTAACAGTACTGTGTGTCCTGCAGTGGATCTCTGCCCATCAAGGACCCCGTGGTAGACTGTGCATCTCCAGTTTACCAGGCAGTGATCAGGCCATTAGGAGATACGAACGATAGTCTATCTGAATGGGCTCGTCGTGCTGCCAATCTGCAGTCCAAGAGCTTCAGGATGCTGGCCCACATCACTGGAACTGAATACCGTCAGTACACAAACTCCTTCTTTCCTCCTTTTGTCTTTTCCTACCTTCTCTTTTGATATTCTTGGAACTCTCCACAATCTTTGTTCAGACTCTGATATCCTCTCATTACTGCTTATTGTCTCGTTAGGTTTTTCTTTGACCTTACCAAATGTTTATTTTCCATGCAGTGCAAGACCCAGATGAGGAGGCCCTGGCGAAGTCGAGGTAAGAACGACACGCCTGCAGAGAATCCAGGAAGTTACTGGTCACTGCCAAAAATAGCTTTAGATGTGGCATTATTTTGACGTTTTGAGAAGCTAATCTTTACACCAAGCTAACCAGCTGCTGGCAGTAGCTTCATATTAAAGGTGGGGTAGGTAAGTTTGAGAAACCGGCTCGAGATACACTTTTTGTTATATTCCATGGAATGCTCTTAACATCCCGATAGCAATGAATATCTTAAGTGCTTTGACAAAAAATCCATAAAAAAAATATCATCTGTGGAAGCCGTAGTACTGTAAAAAGCACGACCAATCATTTTAGCCGGCCCGGCTAAAATAACTGGATGGCCTACCTGCCTGTCAGCCTTCCATCTGTGCACAGACTTATCTCGTGCCCTCATTGGTCATGTGCGCGTTCGTGTGTGTTGGAGGAGGGGCTCTATAAGGAAGTGGCAGATTTTTTCCGGTTGTGTATTTTCAAATTCTATCGATCTCGAGCCGGTTTCTCAAACTTACCTACCCTACCTTTAAGTGTACAAACTAAATAGTGCTATCACATTTCTCCTCTAACTAAATAGCAAACTATTCCTTTAAAATTGTCAATGCCTTCCCCACCACCAGAGAGAAGTTTGAGTCAGAGGTGAAAGGTCCCCGCTTTGCCAAGCTGAAGAACTGGCACCAAGGACTGTCTTCACAGATCCTCAACGTCCAGGAATAAAGGAGGAAAAAGAACAGGAGGACATGTAAAGGAAGACATGGACAAAAGCACAGGAGTAAAAAGGAAAAGGGGATAAGTTATGGAAGGATAAAAAAAGGAACAGGAGGAGGAGGAAACTCCTCAGGAATGTGAGATAGTGTTGTAGCCTAGATTAGTATGTGAGATATTAACTGTTAGTGTGAGAATGCTATGTGTTCATAAGCTCAATATTACCTGTCAAATGTATCCGTCCGCTGCTAAACCTGATCTCGATTTGGGTTTCTCTTTCTCTCTTTTTTTCAGTTTGTTTTAGTTCTGTCTCTCTTAAATCAAAGGGAAATTGTACAAAAAATAATCAAATGAAAATGCAGAACTGATGTTTCTTTTAGTACATAAACGGCATTCACAAACATATGAGTTTTAACACTAAGCATGCTTGTGAGAAAGCAAAAGATGCACACATAGAGATTTACCGACATGCACAAATACAGTATGTAAAAATGCACTCACAAATGTACTTATATCAATGTGAATAAATGTTTTCTTAAAACCAAACGGTTGAGTGAACTGTTGTAAGATCACAAATGAGATGTTTGTAACTCGGAAGAAGAAAACTGGAGGCACGGTGAGCAACATGTCTAGTGCTCTTTGTTTTACAGAGGGAGTGTGACATCATTCAGGAAGAGTCTCTAATAGCTTTTAACACAATATGTCGTTTTCTATTTATTAAATGGTGACAACAAGGAGAGTAATGGTGGCAGGGTAAGAAGCCTGAGAGTTTTTAATAGTTTCCCTGTGATAGTGATTGAAAAATCTTCCTCTCAGGAAAATGTGTTTTCTTCATAAAAAAATTATATTTAAATGTTTTATTTCAATATACATTTCCATTAGTAAGATTAAAAACGATCAAGAGACAACACTGACATGTAGACATGGGATGAAATACAAATTGCATCTCCTCTCATGCAGTCTTTTGTTAACTTGAACTGTTTTATGACTAAATATTCTCACTCATATCAATGAGAATCAGAATCAGGTTATTATTGGCAAGTAAAATATTGTAGGACTCCTTATCATGGCAATTGTGCCATGGATTCTAATTTCACATGTTCCTCTTTTTGAAAATCCAAAACATGACATGTTTTACATTACACTATATATGTTATTTAGCTGCAGCTTTTATCCAAAGCATCGTACATATACTTCAATACAAAATGCTGAATTTTCATGCAAAACGTTCTTATAAAATAGAAAGGAAATCCAATATAAAGGGGTGAGTCCTGCTCGTAACGCATAGTATTTCGATGCTGCATTGATATTGAGTCGTTTGGTCACATGATATCTAAGGTTTGAGCACGTCTAAAGACAACCATCAGTAAATCAAAATGCCGTGTCATGATGTATTTTATGTTAGGGCCACCAGAGGACAGTATGATTCTGTACGGCAAGACGGAAACTATGAGACATCCTCCTTTCTGAAAATGGCACCGTTTCAAATATATCACGTTACTACGTTCTGAGACAGAATACAAAAAGAAATATAGATGGAACAGCTTTTTTTCTGTGGCCATGATGTGGCTTTGTTTGGTTACTATTCGGTTAAAAACTATTTAATTAAAATGGATAAAAATAGCATCAAAACCATACATAGAATAATTGCTGTTCTGCTGAGTTGGCATGTCTGGGATAAACGTGAAGAAAAGAAGGAAGAGGAAGAGAAGGAGGAGGAGGAAGAGGAAGAGGAAGGGGAGAGTGGTGATTCATTCAGGTTGAGATGACAAAGCCTTTTTGCTTTATCCTTATGAGAATGGAAATTGCTGCAGGTGCTCTCCTTTCTTCTCTTAATGAAATGAAATACAATAAAACAGCGATGTACACATCGGGTTACTTAATGTGATAAATCTTCTTTGCTTCCTGTGCTGATGCTCTGATGGTTATGTAACAGTACACAGGCTAAGCATCTATAGGCGTGTCCAGAGCAATCTGCCAATCAAAATATGCAAACAGCTAGCTGCACTGTGGCTGAGAATCACCAGGACAAAGATGGATGACGGGTGGAGGTGTGGCTGAGGAGGGGGTTGCAGCATGACTTGAAAATGCTGCAGCATCCGGCCATCTCTCCTCCTCCTCCTCCTCCTCCTCCTCTTCTCTCCATCTTGTTCATACCGGCTGTTTCCTCCCCCCTCTTCCTCTCAGTCTGCGTGTTGTAGCCCTGCTGTGCAGTCCTCTCAGCCCTCTGTTGTAGCACCAAAGGGAGGAGGAGCCACTGGCACACACACTCACACACACACGCATACTCACAGACTCACACGCTCTCACATCATCTCTTTTGCACGCTCACTGTAAGCACCAACCAGGCCCGTTTGGAGCAGGCTAGCCCAGCCGTCTCGTCGCCCAAGATGGATGTACTAATGAAGGGGTTCTCCATGGCCAAGGAGGGGGTGGTGGCCGCCGCAGAGAAGACCAAAGCTGGCATGGAGGAGGCGGCAGCCAAGACCAAGGAAGGGGTCATGTATGTAGGTATGTACACATCCTGTCTGTGGAGCTAAAAAAAGAAAAGTGGGTAAGTTTGGGGGAGATACGCTCCTTCTTTTTGGGGTGTGTGTGGTTGCATCATGTGTTTTTGCACTGTTTGAGGTAGGGTCCCATGGGTGTCCATGTCTGGGACACTTCTGAGAAGCAACAGGAACAGAGGGAGGATGAGGAGGAGGAAGAAAGGAGGGGATGGAGAGAGCACTGGCAGGATATTGCTGCAGGAGTGGTGCAGGGCAGAGGGTGGGGGTCTGAAAGAGTGAAGGATAGACACACTGAGGAGGGAGAGATTCATTAAAAAAGACAAAAATAGTACATTTCAAATGTGGTTATTAGCTGGTGGAGGACTGGTTCTGTTTCTTTGGGGAATTCTGCAGGATTTTGTGCCAAACCTGAAAGATTTGATTACATGTCGTATATTATTCACATTAAATGGAGCCGCTTGCAGAGGGATGTCCTGTGAGAGACTGTTGAACTGCCTTTTATCATTTACAGAAAACAGTTGACCTACATTTAAAGGGCTGACATTCTTTTTTTCAGGTAAACTCACAAATATTTGTAGGATGAATGTAGACATTCAATATAAGCATGCACGTATATGACGGCAGACGGAAATGTAAAATGAAGAAAATGCTTCAGAGGCTTTATTCGTACACGGTGCTTGTCCTGTTCTTTTAAATTAGCTCAGGCAGCAAATGCGTCACATCTCAAGGTTACCTCCAGTACCAGGCTTTTAGGCCGCCTGAGAGGGGAGGGGCGTTGTGTGAGTGGGAGGGGGGGGTGAGGAGTCAGCCGAGTGGAAGTCTTCATCGTTGTCTGCAGTCCGTCCCTTCAAAAATGAAAATGAAAGATGATCTTGCAATAGTCAATGTACTGATTTACAAAAGGCAGGGTGGGACACAGGGAAGACAGAGCAATGAACACTTAAGCACTGCAGCAATTTGCTCCGCCATCATCCCCTCCACCCTCACCCCATGCTCGTGTCGATGCAAGAACGATGCGTTTGTGGCGTTGCAGCAGCAGCAGGGTTTGCCTGCCAGTGTTAGCTGCTTTGATGACTAACCAGCTTCCTCCCCCCTGCAGCTTTTAAAACAATTCCCCACCAACCCATCCCCATGGATAGATGGAGGGATGCAGGGGGAGAGACAGAGGGAGAAAGGATGGAGAGAGGAGGGAGGGGTGTTATGTCAGAAAAAGCTTCTAGTCTTGTGTATGAACAGATGGAGGGGCAGCGAAAGAGACAGACAGTTGACATGTAGTGATGGAGCAGGAGAGATGACACTCACTGGAAAATGAAACCTGGATGTTTCAGAGATTGAAGGCGGGTGACAAGCCCAGGTGAAAGAGGGGGAGGGGGGACTGAGCGATTGAGAGAAGAGAAGGAGAGGGGATGTGATCGCTGAAGTGAAGAGGGTCGATGGCGCCGATAAACCACTGTATCTGCCTGCAGCAGAGTGCATACATCAGCATGTGAATGTGGGTACACAGTATCAAGGTCTGCACACCCACTTTCACAAACAGGCCAAACCTGGATAGAGAGCTAAGACGTGCTCTGTGAATAAATAAAGAATCCCTCAAATGGGAGCACACGCAATAAAAACAATTCTAGCGGCTGATATACTGCAATGATGTTCAAAGAATGGCTTTAGTCGAGAAGGACTACTTTATAATAAAAAAGATTAAACAGCAGTGATGTTCCTGCATTTACATCCCCTACTATTATTATTTCATCATTCGTGGATTTAAAAAAAAAGGTTCTTATACATGTAAATGTGACAGTATATATAAAATAAAAATATATTAACACATTATAGGATTTTTATTTAATCCAGGACATGTCTGAGCTTTGATCACATCAGGAGTGTCTCAGCACAAATCCTGCCCTGGACAAAATGGCCAAAGCTATATTTATGCACATTATTTCATTATAGGAAAAGGCATTCATACGCTCTAATCCGTGCAATCTTCATTTATTAAGGCAAGCTATCCATCAGGATTGTCATTTACTACCAGGATTATTTCAAACATGGATTTTTTTATTCTGGTCACATGCTCAGCTGGAGAATATTTTCTAGTTCTGCACTGATCAAACACATCTTGTATGAACAGTCTGTTCTCTATAATGGCGACAGAAAGATTACCACCGCCTCATACAGATAATCACAGCGACACTCAGGTGGCTCCCTCTGTTGACTGGGAGAAAGAAGCTGTGTCATTGCTGTGTGTGTGTGTGTGTGTGTGTGTGTGTGTGTGTGTGTGTGTGTGTGTGTGTGTGTGTGTGTGTGTGTGTGTGTGTGTGTGTGTGTGTGTGTGTGTGTGTGTGTGTGTGTGTGTGTGTGTGTGTGTGTGTGTGTGTGTGTGTGTGTGTGTGTGTGTGTGTGTGTGTGGTGTGTGTGTGTGTGTGTGTGTGTGTGTGTGTGTGTGTGTGTGTGTGTGTGTGTGTGTGTGTGTGTGTGTGTGTGTGTGTGTGTGTGTGTGTGTGTGTGAGCTTGGCTGTGCTGCAGTACTGCTCAGTACTCAGGCACGTGGCTCATAGCACGGGGAGCGTGCCGAGCGATGGAGGGAGGCAGGGCGGGCGGGTGGAGGCAGGATACTGTAAATGGCAGCGCCTGTGTTCAAATGGGAACAGTCAGTGTGCACCAAATCATGTCATTCTGCAGATTTGTTCTTCCCGTCCTCACTTCCTGCCTTCCTCCCATGATTCCCTTTCATAGCAGATATTGCCCTCCTTCTATCCCTCTCTCTGGCAGGTTATATAACCACAATTTAATCTGCTTGGGATCATACTATAATGAGCACAGTGCTGGTGATCAGAGAGGGAATCGCAGAGAGGTGCTGCTCTTCACAGGACTAAAATGTTACCATCCATCAATACATAATTAATATAACTAAATCTCTTACACACATAACTCTGAGTTATCAAGGTTTCGATAACATAAAAAAACAGTTTAAATAGACAAAAAAAAACATGTTCAGTTATAAAAACCAGGGAGACCCATCAGACCCACTGAGAGGACACCAAGTCTTGAAATGTATTTTTAGAAAAAGCAATGGATACTGCTGACCCAACACCCTCAGCATAATCAGAATCTTTGGTAAAAGTAAGGAGCAGTTGAACCTATACAATCTCTCTATAACTTTGTGGCAATTAAAGTGTTTAAATATACATCAAAAAATGTAATTGTTGAAGTAAATGGGTGAAACTAACAGGTTCATGTTATCATCAGGTAACATCACATATATATCAGTTATTACTAATGATCTTCTCATATGAAATGATCAATTCATCAGATAAGTGTGCAAGAGTGCATTTTCTGATCAAATAACAAAAATGTAATTCTAATAATACAGATACGCAAAATGAAAAATAACCCAAATAATGAAAATATGCACACAAAAAAATACACAACATAAAAAAACATAAGAATGTCATTAGTGTGTACATTGATCTGATTGTAATCTCTCTTTGATTTCCAGGCAGTAAGACAAAGGAGGGAGTTGTGTCATCAGTAAACACAGGTGAGTAAAGCTGTGTACCCGCCAGTTGTATTTGAGAGGCTCAGGGGGAGCGGGTAGACAAATGTCTTCCGGTAGTTTCTGATTTTAAGTGTTGGCAATCTTTAACCAAGAAGAGACCAACGTCTAAATCCAAATGAAGTATTTAAATAGCTTCATTTGGGGTTTGAATGCAGATCCATTTAAGGATGATAGATATGGTTATTTTTTAATCAACATTGAAAACTGTTAAATAACTGCTTCTAATGGCCCTAAATAAAAAAAAAATATCAGATAATTTCACATTTGGATTTAATTAATATTGGGTATGTAGTGTAGGGTTAGGTCAGTATGCAGGTTTTGACTCAGCCATAGTCACAAAAAGGGTGATGTGGGTCCTTTGTGTGTTTTGTGGCTGTTCAGAATGTGCCTGTGTCTCAGTTACACTAACTGTCCTCCCCTCTGCCTCTCAGTGGCCAACAGGACCGTGGATCAGGCCAATATTGTTGGAGACACAGCGGCTGCCGGGGCCAACGAAGTGTCACAGGGGAACGTGGAGGGGCTCGAGAACGTTGCAGCGTCAACTGGGATGGTCAACCAGGTCAGTCACCATGGCAACAAATAGCTACCAAAAAAAATAACTTTCTTTAAAAAGTTAAGACAGAAATCCTACTTGGAAACATTGATTCCAGGTGATGGTGCTGATTAAAGGTTAGCCACTAGATAGAGCTGTTTCACTGTTGTAACACATCAGAGCTGCAGAATGTAAAAGGAATCTCTTTTCTAGTGTCTTCTCTTACTAACAAAGAAATCTAACAACATAAAGCAGTGCTTAAACATAAATGAGCACAGACATCGCTTGATGGTTCTGCTCTTACTTATCAGGGTGCACTTCATCCATCTATTTATTTAACTGAGTTGTAGAAAAAGAAAGCACAGATGCTACTAATATCAATAAATCCCCAGATCTGTTTCAACCAGTTGATGATTTCATATATAAAACATCCCAGAGCCCAAGGCGATGTGTTGAAATTGATAATTTTCTCAGCCACAAAGTTGTAAACCCTTAGACATTCAGTTAACAATAAAATAGCGCAGAACAACTCGGCAAACATTCACATATGAGAAGCTGAAACCAGGGAATATCTGGCACTTCCTCTTGAGACATGACGAAACTGTATAGCCCGTATAGAAGGAGCTCCGTTGTGGCCTTTTAATGAATTGTATGATCTTTTTAAACGTATCGGCCAACATACAGTGATTCCGAAATATCTGCAAAGATCAATTTATCAGTCCAGAACTACTTAAATAATACATTTATTATGAAGATTTTTAATTCTTTCAGCACAAAAAATAACAACAGGGAGATGTAAAAGAATTGTCAATGCATTACTGTTTTTAACCCCGTCTCAAAATGTTATGTATCCATAAAAGCTTACCTACTTATTAGAAAAATGCTCCATGAAATATTTGTTCCATTTGTGACAATTAACCCTGATGGCCCTCCTTCTGTTCCTGTTTTGTTGTCAAACCTTGTCAGATGTTAGATGGCTTTTACATCTAAATTGTGTGTTTTTCCTGCATGTCTCACCGATAGTTTTCAGTTTTTATGAGTGGTGCTTTTTTGTTATAATGCTTTGGTTATGCTTCTGTGTTTTGTGTTTTTCTGTGTCGCTGTTATTCTCAACATTTGTTGTTTGTCTTGTCTTTGTTTCATCTGTGTTTCCCTGATAGGAGGAGCCTGTATACGAGGTGCATATTGGACAGAGCAGTGTGGGGTCATAGGTCATGCCTTGGTCTGGGGGGAAAGAGATTTATATGGGGTTACTCTGCATGCTACATGCACCAAGTTATCCGTTTGTTATGTGCACCTTTACAGTCTAATCCAATAAACCTGCAATACATCTGACCTTTCCTGCAGAATCCTCATGTTTTATTGCAGGACTGTTGTTTTAGAAAACATGAAATGGTGTGCACTATGAACAGGTGAAATGGTGTGTATTAGCTAATAGCCCAAGTGAGACTAAGTGAGTGTCAAGAGGAACAGAAGATGCAATGATGCTTCCCAAATATGAATTGAAAGATTCCTGCAGTATTTGGGGCTTTGGATAAATGATCCATTGACTGTCAAATGTAATCAAATCACCTGATGTCTTTGTGAGCAATATTATTTCGTACTGCAAAGGTTTTCCTCTGACCTCTCAGATGCTCACTTATTTGTGTAGTATAGGCAACATTATTACTAAAACTGTCAATTTCTAACCATGTAGCTCCCCTGTGCAGCGTTAAGTGACATATTTAGAGCTCTCAGCCACATCTCCAGCACGTCAGATAAGCCAATATAGTCGTGGCATGCACCAAAATGGCTTCATGCACTGCTCAGGCTGAACAAGGCCTGTGCTCCTGGAGTCACCTTTACCTGCTGTATAACTCGAATGAATCCACTAACTGAACCCCCTGGGAAGTCTTGCGCATGATAATAAGAGTTGAGTCAAGCCTAAAGCATGGTCTTTGTGCTCTCAACTGCGTTGTTACATCAGAGCTGGAGGAAAGTGAAAGCTAGACTGCCATTAGTGCTTGAGACCCTCCACCCTGCCAACACCTCATTCTTTCATGCTCACCACTCCAGCTCTTTTTTCTGTCTAACTTGTTCTCGCTTTTCTCCTTGTTGTCTTGCAGGGAGAATATGGGGGAAGGGAGCAGGGTGGCGAAGGAGGAGAGGTAAGAAAACAAGTTTGGTTGCTGCTGGGATTAAAGCAGATCATTTATAAAAGCAGCTCAGTCAACTCAAATTATGTGTGAGACTTTTGACCAAGTGCAGCAAGAATATAAATACCTCTCAGATGTTAAATGTAACTTAATATGTTTACTCTCCTTATTCAGGTATTTCAATGTTGTAAATTACTTCCTTTAATGTATCTAATGGCTGATACTCAATTTAGTACATGGACAATAATGATGAGGCTTTTCAATGCAATGTATTGCTACATGGTAAAAGCATGAGAGGGTTACCTTCATTAGTTTAGACCAAAAGAGTAATCCACTGATTTAGCATCGCAGGACATTGTCAGACTTATAATAGATAATTGACAAAAGTCTCATATCATGACAATTATGATTTCACCTAGTCAAATATTTTAATAATATTAGTAAGCCATTCATGTCTGGACAGAAAGCACTGACTGTGTCTTTATAACTATGAAGGTGATCATTGTTTTAAAGGGCTATAGTGCTTTCAGGAGGGCTCTTCATATTCAAATGAATATTTGTTATCGTTTTTGAGTTTAATGAAGTGCAGTTTTTAATGGAAAAACTAAAATAAAGATTATTGAATTAACTTAACGAAATAATACTTAGGAGGAAATTAAGATAAACTCACTGCTTTAAAAAACATGTACAGCTGTCAGATAGATGTTAAAGAGTTCAATAGCAGAACTCTCACCACACCACAATACTACTTCCCCCATTAATATGATCTTCCTTCCTTTCTTACAGGGGTACTAGTCGCCATCCGGACCTCCCTCCCATGCTCTCCAGCGGCCCCTCGCTCCCCTCGCCTCACTGTACCAGACTCCAGATGTTCGACATATTTTTTTGTGACTTTACAGAACCAAAATCAACTAAAACAGACTCTTCCGGATGCCGCATCGAGCCCCTACACTATCTCCCCCTCTGCCTCGTCACTCCGTGATGCCTCCCCCCAGCAGCGCTCTGCCACCTCACCCCGTCTCCTCCCCTCTGATTTTCCCTCCACTGCCTGTCTTACCCTCGCCTCACCTGTGTGTTACTGTCGTCCTGATATGAAGCTTGGTGTTACAGCTCCCACGCATACCAACCAATAGAGTAACCTCACCCACAAGCACACACAAACAAGAGACACACCTTTATTGTACACATGCATGAAACACACACATACAGTACATACCGCAGATGCCAGCGCAGACACACACACACACTGGGCAAACAGGTGTAAACTGTAGGACATTGTCTGGTGTGTAGATACAGTTTAACCTCTGCAGTCCACAACAATAACAATAACTCACTGAGGGACTGAGGCAGGGTACAAGAGGGGGAGTAATGCGCTGTTTGTGTGCCTGTGTGTTCATGTTAGCTTATATGTGTGTGTGTGCATGTGTAGCTGCTGGTGTATAAAGTAACTCTCCAGAGGCGTGTGCAGGGAATCGTTCTTTGAGGACAGATATCATTCTGTTTTGTGTGCAGTAGTTAGATAGTTAGCTACAGTAGACTGCATGAACAGTTGTGTAGAATGACGTCTCGTGTTGTAACTGTAGAGTAGCAGCTGCTCCGTGTAGCTTCGTATGGCTTAGTGTGTGTTTGGCCTCGACGTTTAGAAACAGGGTTTTAACCAGGAAGCAATACACAATGCTCATTTTTCTCAGCTGTTAGAGCGTAAACCTGAATTGTGTTCATGTGATGCATGAGAAAACAAGAGCAGTTATTTCACAAGTAATTTAACTTCAAATGTTCAAGGAATTTCTCAAAAACAAGCAATGAGCTAAATTAAAGTGAGAAGAAAACCAGTTTTTCATTCCGAAATTCTGATTGGTTCATGGGAATTCAGGACATGGTCTCCTTTTTCACCAGTGGCACAACAACAAGTGCTTAAAATGCTGTACAATACAGTTAGAGCAAATTCATTTGGTGGCCGTTCAAACATCATGGCTTGAGCATTTCTCTCAATGAAACATAGCTTCAGAATCTGTGGGATGTTGTTTTCAAAGTAAGAGCTGCTTAAGGGGAAATATGAGCAGCTGATACTGACATCCTCTTGTTATCGTGTAGTTGCTTTTTAGTCTTTGTGAAACTGGTTTGCATGCCATCAGGAGAAACCCTCACCGTGTGGACTTTAGTGTGTTAGTTCTGTGATAACAAAAATGATGATTCAAAGAGGCAGTCAGTCTGCAAAGAGAGCAGAATTAACGTTTTTTTTTAATGTTTATCATGGATCAGCTTTTTGTGTAGTTATATGTACAGCTTGAATTCTGGGATGTGTAGTTGTTTTTTAGGGTCGTTTTTATTTCACACTAACAAGTCTGTACCCTGGCTGTTCGGGAGCTCCCGCCCATCAACTGTCTCAGCCAATCAGAGGATTCCCTATTCCTCTCAGTCAGTGTGATGCCACCTTTCACTGCTTGTCTGCCCAGCCTTGGTGTGTGTGTCTGTATGCACTGTATGTGTGTGTTTATATAAATATATGTGTGTGCGTTAATATAGAACCGGGTCAGCCAGCATAGTGTGTGTGTGTTTGTGTCTGGAGCAGGTTTGTGTGTTTTTACTTTGAGGCCAATGGAAACTGATGACTGCATGTTGCCTTATCAAGCAATCTGACATTCACACTCACAGATTACACGCAACATCACAGTACCAACACATACACAGCACACTTTAAACAACACGCAATCACAAATCCCAACTCGCATACACAAACACAAATCACACACCATGTTTAAGTTGGCATCAAAGCAGACTCGCTGATTTTATAAACAGTACCAGTGAAATTAAAAAGGTTTTGTTGAAATCCAGCAACTGTGTCAAGAATTTATTTGAAGAGGTGGAAGATTGGGTGTTTTGATTTTGATCAGATTATACCACTAAAGGGCCACAGAGAATAATTGAGCCGTGGACCCCCCTGCTGAGTTTACTGGTTTGTTGTTTGATTTCATACCAAGAATTAAAAATTGAAAATCAATATGACTGTCATGTCTTTGTGTGATGTGCAGATGGAGTTGAGACCCAGTTAGCTTAGCATAGCATAAATACCAGAAGCAAAAGAATAACAATATGAAAACAGCTGTAACTAAATTACGCCACTCAGAAGCTTTAAAAGCCACAGATCTGGCCAAAATGATAAACACGATTATTTTCATTGATATTGTGTTACATTTATTTAACACTATTATTCATTGGTGAAGGTGACATATTTTATTGCACTTTAAATAACGAGAGCACTGCTTTTACTTCTGCTAATGTAAATAATTAGGTCTGCACCATATTAGAAAAAAAGGGACAATGCAATATTACTTTCTACATTTTTAGTTACTTTTTACGATATAAATATTTATCATATCTATGATATTTCACTTATTTAACATATTGATAATTGACATCTGTATATTATGTTAACAGTTTCCTAATTATATTGTTGTTATTTTAATTTATACAGTTACTAAAAAAGTGTAAGTCAACGTCTGGCTAGAAGTGAATTCAAATGATAATTTTCGACGTACTATACAATGAAATAGTCAACGTTCTATATTATGACTTTTTTCATATTTTCTATGTACACTGTCCTTTTTCTTGACTTTTTCGACATAATATACTATGACATGATAAACATGATAAAATATTACTTATATTCATCAAACTATACTATATTTTGACATATTTCATAATTTCAAACAAACTATACTATGACTTTTTTCATATTATAATTAAAATACTATACTATGACTTTGTTGGACATATACTGATGATTGATGAAGATTTCTTTCATATTTTGGGACATTATATACTATGATGATGTCAAAGGCAAGGCAAGTTTATTTATAGCACCTTTCAACACAAGGCAATTCAAAGTGCTTTGCAAAAATGAAAGACATTAGGAGCATTAAGAAACATATTTTAAAATGGCATTTAAAAACATTAATTTAAAACCAAAGATAATAAAAAAACATGAATAACAAAGGTACATGAATACAAGTTACAGTGCAGTTTAAGATATGAATATATCAATTAAAAGCAGCGGAAAAAATAAAAGTCTTCAGCCTGGATTTAAAAGTAGTAAGAGTTGCAGCGGACCTGCAGGTTTCTGGGAGTTTGTTCCAGATATTTGGAGCATAATAACTGAACGCTGCTTCTCCATGTTTAGTTCTGACTCTGGGGACAGAAAGCTGACCAGTCCCTGAAAACCTGAGAGTTCTGGATGGTTCATGTAAAAGGAATCTCTTTTCTAGTGTCTTCTCTTACTAACAAAAAAATCTAACAAAATAAAGCAGTGCTTAAACTTAAATGACCACAGACATCGCTTGATGGTTCTGTTCTTACTTATAAGGGTGCACTTCATGTGTTGAAATTGATAATTGTCTCAGCCACAAAGTTGTAAACCCTTAGACATTCAGTTAACAATAAAATAGCGCAGAACAACTCAACAAACATTCACATAGGAGAAGCTGAAACCAGGGAATATCTGGCACTTCCTCTTGAGACATGACTAAACTGTATAGCCCGTATAGAAGGAGCTCCGTTGTGGCCTTTTACTGAATTGTATGATCTTTTTAAACTTATCGGTCAACACACAGTGATACCGAAATATCTGCAAAGATCAATTTATCAGTCCAGAACTACTTAAATAATACATTTATTATGAAGATTTTTAATTCTTTCAGCACAAAAAATAACAACAGGGAGATGTAAAAGAATTGTCAATGCATTACTGTTTTGAACCCCGTCTCAAAATGTTATGTATCCATAAAAAAATATCAGATAATTTCACATTTGTATTTAATTAATATTGGGTATGTGTACAGTATGCAGGTTTTGACTCAGCCATAGTCACAAAAAGGGTGATGTGGGTCCTTTGTGTGTTTTGTGGCTGTTCAGAATGTGCCTGTGTCTCAGTTACACTAACTGTCCTCCCCTCTGCCTCTCAGTGGCCAACAGGACCGTGGATCAGGCCAATATTGTTGGAGACACAGCGGCTGCCGGGGCCAACGAAGTGTCACAGGGGAACGTGGAGGGGCTCGAGAACGTTGCAGCGTCAACTGGGATGGTCAACCAGGTCAGTCACCATGGCAACAAATAGCTACCAAAAAAAATAACTTTCTTTAAAAAGTTAAGACAGAAATCCTACTTGGAAACATTGATTCTAGGTGATGGTGCTGATTAAAGGTTAGCCACTAGATAGAGCTGTTTCACTGTTGTAACACATCAGAGCTGCAGAATGTAAAAGGAATCTCTTTTCTAGTGTCTTCTCTTACTAACAAAGAAATCTAACAGCATAAAGCAGTGCTTAAACATAAATGAGCACAGACATCGCTTGATGGTTCTGCTCTTACTTATCAGGGTGCACTTCATCCATCTATTTATTTAACTGAGTTGTAGAAAAAGAAAGCACAGTTGCTACTAATATCAATAAATCCCCAGATCTGTTTCAACTAGTTGATGATTTCATATATAAAACATCCCAGAGCCCAAGGCGATGTGTTGAAATTGATAATTGTCTCAGCCACAAAGTTGGACACCCTTAGACATTCAGTTAACAATAAAATAGCGCAGAACAACTCAGCAAACATTCACATATGAGAAGCTGAAACCAGGGAATATCTGGCACTTCCTCTTGAGACATGACTAAACTGTATAGCCCGTATAGAAGGAGCTCCGTTGTGGCCTTTTAATGAATTGTATGATCTTTTTAAACGTATCGGCCAACATACAGTGATTCCGAAATATCTGCAAAGATCAATTTATCAGTCCAGAACTACTTAAATAATACATTTATTATGAAGATTTTTAATTCTTTCAGCACAAAAAATAACAACAGGGAGATGTAAAAGAATTGTCAATGCATTACTGTTTTTAACCCCGTCTCAAAATGTTATGTATCCATAAAAGCTGAAGTATTTTGTAAAATTATTATAAAAATGCTCCATGAAATATTTGTTCCATTTGTGACAATTAACCCTGATGGCCCTCCTTCTGTTCCTGTTTTGTTGTCAAACCTTATCAGATGTTAGATGGCTTTTACATCTAAATTGTGTGTTTTTCCTGCATGTCTCACCGATAGTTTTCAGTTTTTATGAGTGGTGCTTTTTTGTTATAATGCTTTGGTTATGCTTCTGTGTTTTGTGTTTTTCTGTGTCGCTGTTATTCTCAACATTTGTTGTTTGTCTTGTTTTTGTTTCATCTGTGTTTCCCTGATAGGAGGAGCCTGTATACGAGGTGCATATTGGACAGAGCAGTGTGGGGTCATAGGTCATGCCTTGGTCTGGGGGGAAAGAGATTTATATGGGGTTACTCTGCATGCTACATGCACCAAGTTATCCGTTTGTTATGTGCACCTTTACAGTCTAATCCAATAAACCTGCAATACATCTGACCTTTCCTGCAGAATCCTCATGTTTTATTGCAGGACTGTTGTTTTAGAGAACATGAAATGGTGTGCACTATGAACAGGTGAAATGGTGTATATTAGCTAATAGCCCAAGTGAGACTAAGTGAGTGTCAAGAGGAACAGAAGATGCAATGATGCTTCCCAAATATGAATTGAAAGATTCCTGCAGTATTTGGGGCTTTGGATAAATGATCCATTGACTGTCAAATGTAATCAAATCACCTGATGTCTTTGTGAGCAATATTATTTCGTACTGCAAAGGTTTTCCTCTGACCTCTCAGATGCTCACTTATTTGTGTAGTATAGGCAACATTATTACTAAAACTGTCCATTTCTAACCATGTAGCTCCCCTGTGCAGCGTTAAGTGACATATTTAGAGCTCTCAGCCACATCTCCAGCACGTCAGATAAGCCAATATAGTCGTGGCATGCACCAAAATGGCTTCATGCACTGCTCAGGCTGAACAAGGCCTGTGCTCCTGGAGTCACCTTTACCTGCTGTATAACTCGAATGAATCCACTAACTGAACCCCCTGGGAAGTCTTGCGCATGATAATAAGAGTTGAGTCAAGCCTAAAGCATGGTCTTTGTGCTCTCAACTGCTTTGTTACATCAGAGCTGGAGGAAAGTGAAAGCTAGACTGCCATTGGTGCTTGAGACCCTCCACCCTGCCAACACCTCATTCTTTCATGCTCACCACTCCACCTCTTTTTTCTGTCTAACTTGTTCTCGCTTTTCTCCTTGTTGTCTTGCAGGGAGAATATGGGGGAAGGGAGCAGGGTGGGGAAGGAGGAGAGGTAAGAAAACAAGTTTGGTTGCTGCTGGGATTAAAGCAGATCATTTATAAAAACAGCTCAGTCAACTCAGATTATGTGTGAGACTTTTGACCAAGTGCAGCAAGAATATAAATACCTCTCAGATGATAAATGTAATTTAATATGTTTACTCTCCTTATTCAGGTATTTCAATGTAGTAAATTACTTCCTTTAATGTATCTAATGGCTGATACTCAATTTAGTACATGGACAATAATGATGAGGCTTTTAAATGCAATGTATTGCTTCATGGTAAAAGCATGAGAGGGTTAGCTTCATTAGTTTAGACCCAAAAGAGTAATCCACTGATTTAGCATCGCAGGACATTGTCAGACTTATAATAGATAATTGACAAAAGTCTCATATCATGACAATTATGATTTCACCTAGTCAAATATTTTAATAATATTAGTAAGCCATTCATTTCTGGACAGAAAGCACTGACTGTGTCTTTATAACTATGAAGGTGATCATTGTTTTAAAGGGCTATAGTGCTTTCAGGAGGGCTCTTCATATTCAAATGAATATTTGTTATCGTTTTTGAGTTTAATGAAGTGCAGTTTTTAATGGAAAAACTAAAATAAAGATTATTGAATTA